GGCTGCCGATCATTTCACGTCGCTGTCCAGGTTTTTCAACTTGGTCAACTTCTGTCATCGGACTTTACGTTCTGGAACCCCAATCGACTCTTGCGGCGTCGCCGCAATCGTTCACCGGTTGTCGCAAGTTTCCTAACACGTTCGTTGTCCTCCTAAATACCAATTTACTAGTCATGTAATCCCGTAGCCTGCTTGTTGCTGAGCTACTGCTTATTATTGTGACCCTTTTGTGACTCTTTCTGGCTCTTTTGTGGCTGGCACCTGACAAAATGTAAATTGGTCATGTTCCATAAGCTCGTGAAACCTTGGCAAGAATAAGCGCCTCTTGTCGCACAAGCCATTTTAGGGGTCTTTTTTTTTCCATCAGCCCCCTAAGTGGTCCAAGAGTTGTGCGCTCTCGACACCCCCCATGGCTCGCCACATTGAACACGTAGGGGGTGAAATTGTTCAAGGCAGTTAGTTCCCATCATCATTGCGTCGCAATAGAAATGCCTCTTTCTTGCTTTGGTCCCAGATTCGCCCGAATCCGGCTTTTGTGTCTGGTGACGTTGGACCCTGACTTTCACTGGGCTCATACAAGTGGGGCCGACTATTCCTTTCATCGTGGGGGATCACTGACGTTTTCTTTTTATGCGGCAACAGATCCAAGGCTTTGTCGAGTTGACAGAGCAACAGAAGAGCTGCTGACTGGCCCCTCAAAAACATTACAGGAACGCTGCCAGTCTTTTCTGCATCATGACTTTGATTGGCGCCCCACGCGTTACGCCATCAACCAGGCTGAGGGGAAACATGGATCATGGCAGGGTCCAGACTGGATTTGGTGTCAAGGGTCCAACCGTTTACGGTAATTAATGGAAAGCTGAGGTCACCAAGTTATTACGTGCATGATGATTCTCGTTGCGACAAAAAAAAGTTGGCCCGTTTTGCGTCGTACTGCATGTGCAGCTGCTGGGAGTGTATTCAGAAGCGAATGGTCGTCGTTGGTCGTCGATCAAGGAAGCCGAACCAGGTTTGGGCGTACGAAGGAAGCATGGCATTAATTCACGCAACATCTGCTACATGATCATTTTGGTGATTGTACAGAAGTTTGGTCGTGGGCGATATGCGGCTTTACCAGACTCACAAACATTACCAAGAAGGGAAAAAAACAGCGACACAAGCTTTATGGCGTCCTTATTGCCAAGCTTATTGCAGCAACAAGTAGCTGGTACGCATCCATACCATTCTTCCAGCCTTCCAGGGACAGTGGTTGCAGACACTTGCGTCAGTGTGCCCACCCTGCTTGCACCCCCCCCCCCCCGCAACCGTGGCTTTAATAGGCTCACATCTCGTCACGCTGGTGAGCGGGGCCTGGAGTGTTGACTCTGCAGGCGCCATTCCCAATCTTTCGATTCTCCAGTCCGCCTCGTCGCCATTGGCCCTATTTCCCTCTCTCTCTTTCTCTCCCTCCTTTTCGCTCTCAGCCTCTTTGCCCACCCCAATTTGCCTCTGCCTGCCTCTTGCCTTTGCCTCTTCTCTTCCATTTTACCTCTTCCGTATCGCCTACACTCCTGCATCCGCTCACACCCCCCTCTAGCCCATCCTTCTCATCTTGATTTATAAAGACCCTGCAGCCCCGCCCCATTCTACACAATCTCCTTTCCCTTCCGTTTTCTCTTCATTATACAACAGTACCAGCGCAGCATTTCACGAGCTCCTAGTACCTTTCAGCCTCGTCAACTACGATTGCAGCTTCCTTGCTTCTACACTATATCCCACCGCATACCCTCTCTACCCTCGGCCGCCACACTCTACACCTATACACGCAGCCGAACCGAGACCTTTCTTGCCTCGTCTTCCACGTCTCTCACCACATAATACCACCACTCAAATCAGCCACCATGCCCGCCATTCAAGACGTCGGCACTATTGCCATGCCCTCCTCTTCTCCCCCCGTTAGCATCAGCAGCTATGCCCGCTTCATGCACGAGCACACCAAGCGTCAGATGGAAGCCTCGCAGTCGTCAGCTCCCCAGAGCTCGGGCAGCAGCCAAATCTCAACGTCCAGCTCCATGAGCAATGGTGTCAGTAGTACCTAGCCGCTACTGGCGATTCGAATGGCTTCCTGCTTCTGATGTCACGGGTCACACGACTCTCTTACCGTTTTTCTTTGGAGACGAAACAAAAGCAATACAACTGGAAGCTATCAGGTTCACACATACAAATCCATATTCATCTTCTTCGATTCGGTGGCGTTCATCGGAACCCACGCATGACGCTTTCTTCCAAGAGCGCTTTCGAACGACAGCCCACTTTGGACCATATACGATAAACAGCCATGCGTCGAACGAGCAGCACTCGCTTCCCATCTAGGGCACTTAAAACGAATTCACGTCCTCTCAGGGGTGTGTCTTTTCAACAATCAGCAGGAGACACCGGGTTCGACAGTACGGCTCCATTGTCTCCTGCTACTTGTTACTTTTCATCTCTTTTTACTCACGAAATCAACGATGCATGCAAACATGCCACGGCGTTTGGGGATAAGTCATTTGGAGTTACTTTTTCTACTTCCTCTTTCAATCCTTGCCATTTTTCCAATCCGGGCCTCTTCACAGCGGTTGCGATTTTTGTTGGTGTAACGAAAGGAAATAGTTGGCTACCTGGTAACATGGAAAACATAATCTATTACCTCAGCTCATCCTGTTCACTTGGTGATTGATCAAATTTCGCAATGTTTCGTGACCTAATATCAAATGGTACGACTGTAAACTGGAATTATTTTCCGAATGTGCGGGCATTGCCACGATTGTAGAGGTAGCTTGGCTTTACTCATCAAAAGTCGTTGCCATGAAGCAATATCGGACGCTCAACATTTGTCCTTATTGATAATTATCAAGGGATGTAGTGGTGGTTGCCATTCTACGTAATCCAAACGCTTCAAACACAAAACAGCCCGAGTTCCCTTGCAAGTCTAATACTACTCCCGCGTACGACCATGGACTGTCGCCATTAATTGAAACAAAAAAGCAATATCACAAACCATCACACCAGTGACCCTACACCAGCGTAGGCTTCTTTTTTATTCCCAGTAGCGCCGAGTGGTCCTTTTTCTTCTTGACCGTCCTTTTAAAGGACGGCACCGGCGCTTCTGGCGGCGGCATCAACGCCGCTGCAGTCGCCTCCGTCTTGACCACCGGTGACACATGCTCCTCCTCCTCCTTCACGACATCCAGCAACGCCGGCCGCTCCTGCTTCACCTCGTCCTCCACCCCCGCCTTGATGGAGACGTGTGCAAACGCTCTCCTCGCCGCTTCGGCATCCTCGGCATCCTGCCGCCTGCGCTCCTCGTCCTCGCCCCTCACCACCGCATCCGCAAAGTCGACGCCCTCCTTTTCCGAGCGGTGGATGCGCGCGTTGCGCTGCCGGATCTCGTCGAGCGCATCCGCCGCCGCCATTTCCCGCCGCGCGTCTGCGTTCTTGGCCTCGAGCTCCTCCATCGCGCTCCGGCCCTCGGCCTCCTCCCCCGCCGCTTCGGCCTCTTCGCGCTCCAGCCGGTCGAGCCGGTCCTCGAGCGACTCGTCGGCCGCGCCGCGGTCGCGCCAGGGCTCCATGTTGCGCATGGCGCCGCTGACCATGGCGTAGTCGTTGTTCTTGGGATCCGTGCGAAACGTAATCTCGGCGCTGCAGCGGGTGCATTTGATGTGAAACTGGTAGATTTGGATGTTGAGGTAGCGCTGCGCCTGGTCCGTCACCTTGCGCGAGTTGAACTTGCGGCCCCGGTAGATGAACTCGCCGCACGTCAGGCACTTCATGGAAAAGGGCGCCATGAGCCGGACAACCTGGATACGCGGACCGGTCTTCTTGGAGCCGCCGCGCCGCGCGATGGCCCGAGGATCAAAGTCCGCGGGGTAGTATTTCTATGCGGGCAAGTATTAGTATACATGTTTGACGGGTCCACGATGGGGGTGTGCTTTGTTGCCACGTACCTGAAGGACTTTTCGCTCAGACATGTTGGGATAGAGAGAAAGAATGCAGGACTGAATGAGATGTATGTGAGCTCAGTGCAGTCGTAAGAGATTGACCGGTCGCCGTGGCTGGTTTGTAAAGGTGATGAAGAGAGATGAAGTCGCTTGCTATGTATGGGTGGGCGTGGGGCAGTTCTTACCTAACTACCTACCTATGTATTTATGCGGCGAATTTTTTCGGGGCGGCGCTGCTGCCTGCAGTTATACTTTTGCGGCGGTAGCGCCACTTGCTCTTGAAAGCATCGTCAACTTAACTTTTTGCAACGTCTTGTCACGCCTTTTCCTTGCCGAATCGCCACTATAGCAACCGACAATCCGATTCCTTCACCTGCCGCGACACCGATTTAACACACAGACACGAATTCGTTCTCCCCGCCCCGTCGCCCACCATGCCCAAGGCAGAGGTCGGCTCGGTCAAGCACCTTAACAACAAGCTCAAGTCCAAGGGCTTGCAACGGCTGCGATGGTACTGCCAGGTCTGCGAGAAGCAGTGCAGAGATGCAAACGGGCTCAAGATGCACACTCAGTCCGAGAGCCACGTGCGGAAGATGCTCATCGTCGGCGAGGACCCCAAAAAGTTCATCAACGACTTTAGCAACCAGTTCCTCTCCGACTTTATGAGCCTCCTCAAGACGAGCCACGGCGAGAAGCAGGTGCAAATCAACCACTTTTACCAGCAATATATTGCCAACAAGGAGCACATTCACATGAACGCCACAAAATGGCCGTCGCTGACCGAGTTTGCCAAGCACCTCGGCCGCGAGGGCCTCTGCCGCGTCGAGGAGGATGACAAGGGCATACACATTGCGTGGATCGACAACTCGCCGGAAGCGCTGCGAAGGCAGGAGGCGCTGCGACGCAAGGAGGCGCAGACCCAGGGCGACGAGGAGATTGAGCAGCGCATGATTCGCGAGCAAATCAGGCGCGCGCAGGCAAACGCGGGCGCGCGGAGCGACGAGGCGGATACGGATAAAGATACAGAGGAGCGCGAGCTGAAGCGACGAGAGGGCGAAATGATTACGTTGTCGTTTGGCGGCGCCAACAAGGCCAAGACGACGGCCACGACCACGACCACGCCCGCGGACGAGGCTGCTGGGAACGTCGAGGCAGACAAGGGCGATAATGAAGCAGACGCTGTCGCTGCGACGGACGCAAAGAAACCAGCCGGCGGCGGCGGCGGCTTCTCCTTCAAGGCTGCCGGCAAGGCGCCCGTCAAAAACGTCTTTGCACAGGCCAAGAAGAATGCGCTGAGCGGCGGCAGCGGAGGCAAGAAGCCGTCTGCCTTTGAGCAACCCAAGAAGATGAGTGAAGCGGAGCGCATCATGCGCTTGGAAATGGACCGCAAGCGTGGGCGCGACGGGACGAACTCCGGGGGGAATCCGCTGAAGAAGCAGAGAAGCGGTTGAGGCTCCTCGGATATTTTCAATATACGGCGTTGGTGCAGGACGGCGGCGTATTTACATCTACACATGGGCACGGCGTACAGGACTGTTTTAGATACCATGAATGGCAGCATATTGTACTCTTCTCCTCAATGAGTCTCCCTTTCTATTGTGAATGCATCATAGTTTCTTCAAAATCAAAACGCCTCGAGCGCCCAAGATCCAGTTTTCACTGCTGTCCTTTTTTTATACCCTCCCATCCGCGACGTGGCATTAATTATCGCAATCGGTTTGTATCATTCCGCCTCGGCCTCGGTACCGTCTCGACTAAAACATTGTCAGCTCCTTTCCCGAACCCTGCATAATCATAGACTAGGAACTTTTTTTTTTTTCGAAAAAGAAGAGAAAAAAAAAAAAGTAGACAAAGAGAAAATGGGATTAAAAACGCACGGAATATACTGTATCCGATACTCGTCCTCGAGCGCCGCCCGAATCTCGTCGGGCAGTTGTCCTGAGACCTTGATCGCGTACACGCCCGGCACGTAGCCGTCGAGGCGCTGCCACTTGGCGACCCACGATTTGGTCGGGTCCGCGAGCGTAATGAGCCCCTCAAAGACTTGTGAGGTGCAGCTCTCAATCTGGTCCTGCGAGCCGGCTAGGTGAAGAAACTCGTCGCAGTTGGGGCATCCTTCGTCGCGGAAGCGCTGGGTCCGAACATCAGTATTAGTATGGAGAAACTAATTTGGAAGCGTTTGTCTTTTTTTGCCCGCGCCCTTTTATTTTTTTTTTTTTTTTTCCCTTTTCGCTTCATGTTTCTTTTTTTTTTCTCGGCGCGGAACGGTTCTTTGAGGAAGGACGACGGGAGAAGGGGGAGGAAGCTCACGCTGTAGGTCATGACGACGGAGCAGACCATGCAGGCGCGCAGGTAGCGCTGTTGGCCGGGCGCGACAAAGTTGGCCGACGCGGACATTTTTCCTTTTGACAATTCGGTGACGGCCGTCGCTTTCTTTGTTTCCGCCAATTCCAATGGCCAGTCGTTGTGGCCAGACGTCGCGGGTGCCGGTTATCGTGTTGCGGTTTGCTGAGCAAGAGGTTGCGAACGAGTTGTCTAGGCGCCACCGACATGCGGCAAGGCGGACCCGATAAATGCATATCGTTGCCAGCAAGCTTCATTTTCATCAGCTGGGCCTTTTTCACGAGGACATCAAACAGTATCACACCACTCTGTGCGACCTAGCTTCTTTTTTTTTCCATTTCCTTTTTCTGGCTATACGTCGCTTACGAATCTCATAATATCAGAAGTTCATTTGAACAAGAAAAAAAAAATACACACCAACGCCATGCCATCCCAAACAATACACTGCGAATTCACCATCAAGGCGCCCCAATTCGCCTACGCCCACCTAGAACTACACACCGACAGCACCAGAAGCACGTCGCCACCGGCGCTCGACGAGCTCCTCGTGCGGTCGTACTGCGACGCCGCGCTGCGGCAGTACCTGGGCCTCACGGGCGCCGGCATCCCGCTCGACATCCTCAAGGTCGAGGGGCAGCAGTGCTGGCTGCGCGTGCCGCGCGAGGACCTGGCGCGCTTCGCGGCGGCCCTGACGGCGTTTCGCGGGACCGTAGTCGCGGGCGACGATGGCGAGATGCCGTGCCTGCTGCGCATCAAGGAGTGCTCCGACTGGCTGGGCACCATGGTGGGCAGCGAGGCGCTGGAGAAGCTGTGGCAAGACTGAGAGACACACACACACCCACACATACACACACAGAGGGCTTCGTCCTCGTCCTGTGCCGTTGCAACACTGCCACTCTGCGAGCAAAAGACAAAGTCTCCGTCGTCGTCATCACTTGAGATTCGTTCTTGAGCATCGAGGACAAATATCAGAGACATGTTTCGATCGTATATATACGTCTCATCCGCGCCAGGTATTCTATGTACATCCTCCCATGTGCGCCTGTCACGTCAACCCAAAACGAAAAACTTGTTCCACCATTGTCCAACCCTTGTTTTGCATACCGGTATCATTTCACAGCCAAATTCCGCATTCTAGAGCTCTTTACCAAAGATTTTCCCTTGTTTTTTTGTTCTTCTATGCATCTTTGCGACTACGCTAGCGAAGACATGAGCGAGTTCTGGGCATAAGCCTGGAAGCAGGGTTAGTCGCGAGATCGAATGCGTGCGTTGAAGAGAACTCACCATGGGTCGAATATCTGGGTGGGGAACGGCGTCAAACTGCTCATACTGCAACTTGTAGTCCGAGCCAATGTTGATGTACGCACCGCGGTTCTCGGTTGAATCGCAGTATCTGGGGGCGGAAAAGACTGGGAGCAGTTAGTCGCGCTGTTGGCCATAGGAGACGGGTTCAACGTACCAGTAATGCATCGGCCGTCATGTTGGACTTCATAACCATCCATGCGGACTTCGTGGCTTCGAATAATGGCCTCGAGGCCGTTGTTCTCGCAGAAACGCTTGGTAATATCCGGGCCAAACTGCATGCCGACACCGCGCTTGCTAGGTCCACGGCCCTGCTCTTCTTGAGGATCCGTCCACAGCATCTCCATCATCAGACCAGACTGGCCGGGCTGCTTCTGGTTGTGTCTGTTGAGCTTGCGAATGTCATCGAGAGTGACCTTGTCATCAGAGAACAGGCCACCGTGGAGAACCAGGTATTTACTGCCAACCAGGGTAGCCAAAGGCAGAGCAGAGAAGCTTTCGGAGAAGATTTTGAAGATTCTAACATGATGTTAGCAAATTCACTTTAGTCATCTGTTATCAAAAACATACCTCTCGTTGTACTTGGCCTTGCATTCTCCCTCAAAGCCGTAGACCTTGTTCATGTCATCCGTCTCGTGGTTGCCACGATTCAGGAAAAAGCCATTAGGCCGCAGCCATTTGTAAGCGTAAAGTAGCAGGGCAATCTCGCAGGACCACGATCCACGATCGACAAAGTCGCCGTTGAACAGGTACCAGTGCTTGTCAGTAGGCGTGCCGTTTTTGCGGAACAGCTCCAAGAGATCGAAATATTGACCTGAAGATGTTAGCACATAAACAGTATCAGGAAGATTTGTTGAACATACCATGTGTGTCGCCACAAACAGTCAGCTGGACATTGTCAGGAATTGTCATCTCCACCATTGTAGCCTCGTCGTAGATGATTTTCTTGACAGCAATGAGGATCTGATAGACGTATTTCTTGGCAATCTTCTTGCCATTCTTGAATCTCTCAATCATGTCGTCGATGAACTCTTGCGTCATTTCGTCTCCGAGCTGGACACCATCATAGCCGTCCTCGAGAATCATGGAAGCCACATCTAGACCCTCGGCGGCAGAGGGCTCGTCGCCCACTTCGATGGCGGCATAGAAAGCAAGTTGCCGAACAATCTTCTTGCACTCTTCCAACTTCAAACGAGCATCCTTGTTGGCAGGATCGAGGCGGACGCATTCCTTGAAATCATTCACAGCTTCCTTGGGACGCAGGATGGCGGTTCGGGCAAGACCTCGGCGGTAGTAGGCCTGGGGGTGGCACGGTCAGCAGAGAGGCACGTAGCACACGCTGAGTTGCCGCAACATACCTTGACGAGCGTTGGGTTAAGCTCAATGGCCTTACCGGCGTCTATAATGGCATATCCGAAGGCCTCTGTTTTGATGTATGCCTGTGGCAGAGGCGCCCAAGTCAGTCACACGATCAGGCCGCGACGGAGTTGTGCAAGATGGGGTCGACAGGCTTACCTGGGCACGGTTGGTGTAGAAAGTAGCCTCCTTGTCGTTGAGCTCGATGGCCTGTGAGTAAAACTTGATTGCAGCCGGAAAGTCACCAGCAGCAAAGGCCTTGTTGCCCTGGTTCTTGAGGTCGACAGCTTGCGACATGGTGGTATTGCAGCCGGGATAGGGTGCCGGGTTCGGAGATGTGTGGTCGGCGCGCTCGGTGATAGGATCTTGGGGGGAGGAGATCGGGAGAGGGGGGTCGTATGCTGGCGGCGACCGGAGCAGAGGATAAATGTCGCGGCAGATGCGCCAGTTGAGATTGAATAACGATGCGCGAGTCCAATTGTTTGCCGGCGCCGACCAAGAACGAGCCCTTGCTGGTGCGGTCTGCGGGGCGAGCCGCGGGCCCTGGAAGGTTCCACCTGAAAGCTACCACAGGGCTCTTTACCGAATTGGCCGGGGCGCTGTTTTCCACTGACCTGACCCATGCAGCCACTGTAAATCCGCATTGGCTACTGCAGGTTGGCCTGTAGCCCACTGTAGACAACCTTTATGCATGCTAGATCGGATAAATGCATATCTCTGCTTGTTTGCCTGTCATCACTGATCAGCCATCGCATCATGGGATCTGCACTCTTAACAGTCGTCCGCCTCACCAACGTCGCAGCTCATCCATAAGGTCTGGCTGCTTTGCTAATACTCTTCTACCGATACAAACATGCGCCTGTTTTGTTGACGACCTCATCGTCCACCGTCAGCACCATGGCCGAGTCCAGCGCATCCAACGCCCTTATTCGGAAGCGGCAAGATACAGAGTTGATGGCTATACCACCGCCCGTCAAAAAAATCAAGAGGCCGAAAAAGGTGCTTGATGAAGACAGCTACACTGAGGCTCTCTCACAAATCATAGCCAGAGATTTCTTTCCCGGCTTACTAGAGACGGAAATACAGCAAGAGTACTTGGACGCCCTAGACTCAAAGGACTCTGCATGGATATTCAGCGCAGGCCAACGACTGCGCCATGTTAATACACTCAGGAAAGAAGGCAGGGTTGCTGGCTCAAAACCACCTGTGAGCGCTGGAGAAACGCCAATGACATATGTGGGCGACACACCAATGTCGGTCGCGACGCCGGCCGTTGAGCAACGTCCAGCACTGGGAGCCAATATGAGCCTTACCAAATTCCAAGAAACCTATACCAGCGAGGACAACGAGAGCTTTTACAAGCTTGTGGACAAACAAAATCAGAAAAAGGCCGACAAATACGCCTGGTTATGGCGCGGCAACAAGGTGGCGTCAAAGCAAATGATGGCACAGAAGGCAGTGACAGATCGCCTAGCGCAAGAGGGAAAACTCATCGACGACGGCTTTATGAAGCGTGACAGGCTGGCAATCAAGGATAGTGATGATCGACCTGCACGTCCGGATAGCTGGAAGTCGGAACCTCAGAATGGCCTGATGTTTGGGCCAAAAGATCTCGACGAGAGCGTAAAGACTGTGGCGCAGGCTGCAGACGACGCCTCCAGAGCAGGCCCGAGAACAGTCGTCTACGCCAATACCAGAGTTCCACAGCCTCATATTCCTCAGCGTCCGCCATCACCTACAATGTCTTCGATAAAAGATGCTATTGCAGGAAGACCTCGCGCAAAAGATGCATTCTCTAGCGTGGCTGGTGGCGGCGAAACACCGCGGGTCAATGGCTTCGCATTTGTGGACGACCAAGACGACTACGACACTCCGACAAAGGGGGAACCTATCATTGATCTTGGTCCCGGCGACTCCAACAACCCGTTCAAAATACAGCAACGGGGAAAAAAGGATGTACTGCACGAAAAGATGGTGGATCGGATCGCCAAGTCAAATCGAGAGTCTACTCGGAATGGCTTCACCGGCCGCTCCGAGCCCTTGAATGTGCCCAAGTTTCCAAGCAGCCCTCGAGTATCGGCAGGATTGACACCGGCAGCTCAGCGTCTCTGGAGCAAAATGGGTACACCAAAAGGCAATACCCCAAGCAGCTCTTTTGGACAGTCGTGGCAGGAAACGCCATTACGACGAGGCTCCTCATTAAGGAACACCAGCAAGCCCGACGTCAAGTCCGACACCAAGCTCAAATAGCGCAACGGCCTGTAAACAAAGATACCAGTACTAAATAGAAGTAATGAAGAAATGAAGAAATGAAGAAATCTATGCTTAACGAAATCAACAAGTTCTTGTCTATCTTGAGTATCGCTTAACTGCATAGATGTGAACCCTGGTTTCCAGGGGTCCACTGGGCGTGAGCTATCAGCTGCTAATAAAGGCTCCCCAAAACTTTCCGACGTCACCATCTTCTTCATGAGGGCCATTTCTTCCGCCACCGCAACACAGCCGACATGAGGTTCGCGGATCTCGCCATTGACCTGGCCGCGGTGCTGAGCGTCTCGCGATCCGTCGCCGCTAAGCACGTTGCGCTCCGTGGGCGGCAGCTGCAGCGCTACCGCGGCGTCGTCGACCTCGAAAACAAGGCGCGGGCCGCGGCCGCGGACGTTTCCGAGCAGATTAACACCCAATTGCACTCGATCAAGACCGACATCAGCAGTGCCAAGTCTGACGCGCCGAGAACAGAGCCCCCGCCGGCGGCGCCTCCGCGACCGGAGACAGCAACAGAGAGCAGATATGCGCAGGCGTCGCGCGAGCTCAACGCCGCGGCAAAGGCAAATGCAGAGGAGAGCTCAGATATCCCTGGAGGCATCGACGTCAATATATTTCATACGGCGCGAGGGTCGCAGATTCTGGACTCGGTGCGCAAGCAGCGGAGCAAGCAGGCGGCGGCTTCGGCTGGTGGACCGGCAAAGGAACATCCGTTAAGGCACTGGGGGAACGCTCCTCCTATTATACAGGAGCCTATTGTTGTCAAGACTAGATCTTCGCCAAATACAGGGACAATTAGGCCGCAGGAGCCAGGTTCGGAACCCGTCGTCGTCAAAACGCAACAGTCGTCGCATACAGAGTCGATTAAGCCAAAGAATTCAGCGTCGGTGCCAGTGTCGGAGCCCCCATCAGTTGAGCCAGAAGTGGCAGCAGCACCAACCTCGGAGCAGCCCACCGTCGAAGCCATTGCAGAGACGATAACGGGAAGCGACTCTCGGCCTGCCTACCAGCTCCGAGAATCCAGCGTCCCCTCCTCACGCGTCAGCCGCTTGTGGAATTATGGCGGTCTCGCCGCCGGCATGTTTGGCGGCGCCATCTCAGAGAGCGTCAGCAGGGCGTTTGGTGGCGGCGGCCAGGGCAGCGTGCTGCTCAGCAGCGGCAACATGGAGCGGCTCGTGGCCAAGCTGTCGCGGATGCGCGGCGCGGCGCTCAAGCTCGGGCAGATGATGAGCTTCCAGGACTCCAAGATGCTGCCGGCGCCGATCCAGGAGGTGCTGCAGCGCGTGCAGGACCGCGCCGACTACATGCCGGCGTGGCAGCGCGACCGCGTCCTTGCGGCTAACCTCGGCCCGGCGTGGCGCGACCTGTTCTCCGAGTTTGAGGAGACGCCGATTGCGGCGGCCTCGATTGGCCAGGTGCACAAGGCGCGGCTGAAGGCCAACGACCGCCGCGTCGCCGTCAAGATTCAGTTCCCGGGCGTCGCCGACTCCATCAACTCGGATCTCGACAACCTCGGCATCCTACTCACGGCGACCAAGCTCCTCCCGCGGGGCCTGTACCTCAACAAGACCATTGACAATGCAAGGCTAGAGCTCGGCTGGGAGTGCGACTACGAGCGCGAGGCCGAGTGTGCCGTGCGCTACAAGGAGCTGCTCGCCGGCGAGCAGGATGTGTTTGAGGCGCCGACCGTGTACCGCGAGGCGTCGGGCAAGCAGGTGCTGACCATAGACTTTCTCGACGGCGTGGGCGTCACGCGCGTGCAGTCTTTCACGCAGGCGCAGCGCGATTGGATCGGAACGCAGATTCTGCGGCTGTGCCTGCGCGAAATTACCGAGTTCCGCTTCATGCAGACGGACCCCAACTGGACCAACTTTCTCTACAACGCGGCCACCGACAAGCTCGAGCTGCTCGATTTTGGCGCCTCGCGCGAGTACCCCGAGGAGTTTGTCCGGCAGTACGTGCAGCTGCTGGCGGCCGCGTCGCGGTCGGACCGCGACGCCGTCAAGCAGCTGTCGGAGAGCCTGGGCTACCTGACGGGCCACGAGAGCAAGGCCATGGTTGACGCGCACACGCAGTCGGTGCTGACGCTCGCGGAGCCGTTCCTCGCGTCCGCGCCCGCCGTGTACGACTTTCACGATCAGACCATTACCGAGCGCGTCAAGGCCCTGATCCCCGTCATGCTGCAGGAGAGACTGGCGCCGCCGCCCGAGGAGACGTACAGCCTGCACCGCAAGCTGAGCGGCGCGTTCCTGCTCTGCGCCAAGCTCGGTAGCAAGGTCCGCTGCCGGGAAATGTTTGAAAAGGCTGTGGCAAAGTCGGGCTATATCTAGAATCGCGGGGGGGCAGAAGAAAGAATGATGAAAGGAAGGGCACGTTATACAACAATCACTTTGTAATAGAAAAGAAGGGATGAATAGAAGGCATCGCATGCCATGTATGTATATATATATATTTGATAGAATGCGGTAATCATGGAGCGTTAGGTATCTCTCTCATCACGATTTGATATATTCAATCGACAGTCTCCCACCCACCTTCGTTCGCCCTGTCCAGCTCTAACGGCCACCTCTCACGCGCACCAGACTATCCAACTCCTTTCTTTCCTTGCCGGCCACCTTTTTCCGCTTGCGTTCAATCGCGCGGTCCACCTGTCCCTTGCTCATGTCCGCGAAGCGGTTCGTCAGAAGCTGCTTCTTCTGCTCGCTCCTCTTGAGGTAAAACGGCTGCTTGCCCTGCGCCACCAGCGTCTTTTCCTTTTCCCTGTGCTCCCTGAGCAGGCCCTCGGCCTCGTCCTTCTTCTTCTGCGCCTTCTTCTTGGACTCCATCGACAGCAGCTGGCGCTTCATCGCCTCCTTCTCCGCCGGGTCCTTGCATTTTTTCATGGCCGCCCGCAGGTCCCCCATCTCGCGCTCGCGGTACTCGTCGAGAAAGGCGTACGCGCGCCGCGTCTTGTCCTCGTCGACGCTGCCCACGGCCGGGTCGAAGCGCGGATCGCGCGCCCTCCGCCGCGGGTCGGCGAGAATCTCGCGGCGCCGCGAGACGGGCTTCTTGGAGGTCTGCTCCTGCGGCGCGTGCTTGGACGTGCGGCTCGGGGGCTTGTCCTTGTGCGCGCTGTGGCGGGCTTCGGCCTGTTCGCGGAGCGAGGTCGGCTTGGCGGGCTGGGTAGATTCGGCGGCGTCCGAGTCAGTGTCTTTGCGGTTCTTCTTGGCTCGTCGGCTTGTGGAGGGCATGGATGCTTGCGCGCGGGCTAGGGCGCCAAACGACACGGACGAAATGTCGACCTTGGGAGGCGCCTCGTCATCTGATTCAGACTGGAAATATTGTGAGCCACATGCTTCTAATAATACGGTACAGGAGCAGCTCTCACCTCTGATTCCCCATCGTCTTCAGCGTCTGACGTTTTCTCATCCTCGCTTTCCTGCTCGCGAACATCTTCCTCTGAGATGTCGTCGTCCGATTGTTGGCTGTCGGACTCTGGCTCAAGCTGCCAATTTTCGTCGCGCCTGACGCGTACTCTTCTATCCAGTCCCAAAGACTGAGCCTTTCTTTTTGGTGGCATTATGATGGTTATATATTGTGTATGTCAGAGTATCTAGAGAGATGCCGAATATTTTTTTTTTTAGATGCAGGCCGCTATGCAGCCGTCTTTGTTATCGATAACGAGCTGTGGAGGGGCAAAATGCCACTGTAACGTTCCGCCTTTAGGTGCCTGAGCGGTGCTAATTCGGGATAGGGAGCGCTAAAAGTGAGCCTATCGCGTTTGTTCGGTCAAATTTGACTGGTGCACATGTATTACTCTGTATCAAACAACACAATTCACTTTTGATCAACTCTTGAACCAAGCCACAAACGCTCGCCTGTTTACCCGAGTCTGCATAAATACGCTCATCTTGCATGCCGCCTCTGCACAGGCTTTTCCTCTTCTCTCTTCGGCTGGTCCGGCCTACATCCGCCACAGTCGTCTCAAACAGTGCGCTTCGGGCTGCCCGCATCCGTTACAGCACCGAGGCGTGCCAAAAGTATGACATTGGCTTCAAGGTCCAGCCATCTAGTCTGTTCAAGTACAACATGGCGTCTCAAGAAGACATTACGCCGGGGAGTCAGCCAGTGCAGGTTGTCATCGCTCAAAAGGCAATCGTCAAGGCAAACGCTCGCAAAGGGATCAAACGAAAGATGAACCGCAACAGAGCAGTCACATCTACGGGCACAGCGAATGGCCCCCAAACACAAGTCACTGTGAAAACAAATAAGAAAAAGACGAAAAAGCAAAAGAAGGCGGAGAAAGAGGCTGCAGAGGCGTCCAGTGCGCAACCAGCTATAACTCAGGTCACACAGCCCGAAGAGACCGCAGAAATCACAGAGATCACAGCGGCTACAGCAGCCACAGAGATCACCGAGTAAGCCAGCATCTCTCCAATCACCAACCTCATTCTAACTCTTCTACCAGATCTACCACAGAAACGGATCTCCTCGTTCGTGATGAAATTACCGCCCCCAGTGCCGCCTCCGGAGGCGTCCCGGAGCCCACGGCCTCCTACCTCCGCTGCGCGAACCTGGCCCCTTCACGCCTCTCCTCCCCACGTCGCATCCTCATCGTCATGGACCTCAACGGCACGCTCCTCCACCGCCCCAACAAGCGCCGGCCCTCGCACTTCACCGCGCGCCCCCACGCCCGCATCTTCATGGACTACCTGCTCTCCACCTTCTCCGTCGCCGTGTGGTCGTCTGCGCGGCCGCACAATGTCCAGGCCATGGTCGCCAGCCTTTTGACACCCGCGCAGCGCCAGCGATGCCTGGTAGTCTGGGGCCGCGAGCGCATGGGCCTGTCGTCCGCCGACTACGACGCCCGCGTGCAATGCTACAAGCGGCTTGCGCGCGTCTGGGGCGACCGCGCCGTCATGGCCGCGCACCCGGACGCGCGGGGCGGCGGCCGCGGCGGCCGCTGGGATCAGAGCAACACGGTGCTCGTCGACGACTCGGCGGAAAAGGCGCGCAGCGAGCCGCACAACTTGCTGTGCATCCCAGAGTACCTGGGGCCGGAGGCGGAGAGCCCGCACGTGCTGCCACAGGTGCACGACTACATCAACGAGCTGGCGTGGCAGGCTGACATCAGCCAGTACATACGAGAGAATCCGTTCAAGCTCGATGCGAACTACACGCTGTAAATATGCGCAGAGCATGTGTTGTTAATTAATAGAGAGGCTGTGTGGCCTGAGCATGTGCAACATAACATAGATCAGCTGGAAAGTCATGTATGGAAAGTGTAATTTACAAGGCATTCGGCTCACAGAATCAGTCACTGGTTGGTCTTGGACGTTGAATATGCGGCTGCGCTGGCTACGAGTCGAAACTGATTCAGTGAAATGCCCGGCAAGTCGTCGCAATTTGAGTGACTGCGCTCATAGTCAATGCATCATATTGAAGAGGACTTGGTGCTACTACACGAAAACTTTTGAGTCGAGCATAGCATCCTTCGCCTGACGAATGATCTCTTGTTAAAAGAGCGCCTAGGCATTTACTCCTTAAAAGTCACCACAATTCAAGTCTATACCGTGATCGAGACACATGCAACCGTCACTGCAGAGGCCAAATAGCTGACACGAAGGCATACTGCCTTTGTAGTATTATCGTGTACCCTTGTTTTCGGGTTATTCATATTTTGTACCATCATCCAATCCCATGGTCATTACATTGCAGGCGCCTCAATCATGAAAAGCACATCTGCAGCTCATAACTCATTTTCCCAATCATCAACCCATGACCAGCATGCCTCATTAACCTCTCATTTCGTGATATCGTTTATTTGAAGACCTTGCCGTCAGCATGCTTGTACTCCTTGCCGTTGACAATGGCAGGCTTCTCCCAGCCCCAGTTGTCCTCGACAAAGGCGCGATCCTCGGGCTTCTTGGGGTCAAGCTTGGTGAAGGTGTAGCTCTCGTAGTCGGGAGCGACGTCAAAGACAGGCACGTAGTCCTGACCACGGATGACGAAAGCGCCCTGGATGACGGAGTCGTTGTTCTGGCCATAGACGGAGGCGGTGCCGAAGACGTACTTGCGGGAGCCCTCAAGGCGGGTGTTGAAACCACCAATCAGGTTGTTGGACATGAAGGTGAGGGTGAGCTCATCGTTGTACTTGTAGTCGACCTTCCAGATGGAGTACTCATCGAAGGGAACGTTCTCCCAGAAGTACTTCATAGCATCAGGGGTCTCGTTGTTGGAGTAGAAACGCTTGAGGTCATCGAGAGCGAAGCTTGACTTGCCCAGAGCCTCGCAAGGGTGCTTGGGCTTGGGAGCAGGAGCGTCCTCAGCGGCTGCGGGAGCAGCAGCAGGGGCAGCCTTGGCGGGGGCAGCCTTGGGAGCCTCGGCCTTCTTGGGGGCGACGTTGGGGAGAGCCTTGTCAATGAACTGCACCTTGCCGACAATATCGGAGTAGATGGGCTGGTTGACAATAGTTTCATACCAACGAGTAGTGGCAGGGTGGGCCTGGCGCCACTCGGCGTCGTAGAAGTAGTCGAAGCCGCGGCTGATGATGCCAGCGGAGTAAAGATCCGCAAGGCTCAGACGCTCACCAACGAGGTAGGTGTGCTCGCTGAGGTACTTCTCGACGACAGCAACGGCTCTCTCTTCCTCCTTGGCGGCGTCGTCAACAGCCTGCTTGTTGTAGGGCTTGCGGCCGAGCAGGGGGAGGAAGTGGGCGGCAAGAGGGTTGAGAATATCGTTGGTGAAGAAGGACATCCACTTGAGGATAGAAGCATAGCTATAGTCTGTCAGCATGTTTGTTTCAACAATCAATTAGACAATCATGTGCTTACTCCTGCTTGGTCTTGCCGAGGAGGGTGGTCTTCTCGTTCTGGGAGGTGACTGTTTCATGTTAGCATTCGTGCCACCAGCAAGTGAGATTGAGCAAACAGAGGAGTTGAAAAGCAAAAGATATCAGAAATTAGGCAATATCCACACAGAAGTAAGTTTCAGACAGGGATAACTGTAATAAAAGGCTAAGTCATCACGCAATGCGGCCACCCAGGTTGGGCCGCGGGGTGAGGAGGCAGAGCTTGCAAGAGCGAAATTTGAGTCACGTACAGTAGATGGCAATGGCAATAGCCTCGTGGAGAGTGAAGCCGTCCTCGCCGACGAAAGCAGGAACGCGGCCAATCGGGCTACCAGCCAGGTGCTCGGGAGTGCGAGGAGCGCTCATGTCGACGGTGGCGATCTTGACGTCGAGGCCGTTGGCCTTGGCGACAGCCTTGATGGCAATGGAGCGGGGGTTGCCCTGGAGGGAAGAGAGCTGTCAGCGACTCATCTTTGGTGCAAGCAAGCAAAAAAAGACTGCAATCCAGGAGGTAATCTCACCTCGGCGGTAAAGAGAGTTCCGAAAGCCATTTTGACAGTGTATCAATGACTGGTGATGAACTTGAGATGTCGGGTGGTATAGACAGGAGAGAAAGCTGCGCAGGAAGCCGCAGAGGTTGAGGAAATTTTTTTATGGTGGGATAATTTGAGCCCCGCGTCCAGTGGCTCCTACAGCAACGGTGGCTGATGAGTGGCTTTTGGGCGCTATAACGGTACCTATCTAATCTTCACGTGATGTGGCGCCTAAGCTGGGCCAGCGACACAGGGTTTTTGAAGCAACGTCCGACTCTGAGCCTCAAGTGAACAGAGGTCCATCGAAAGAGAGCGCACCGGCGACTCGGATCGACAAGGCGCAAGAACTGACTGCGAAAATGGCCAGTCTCAATGCGAGCCTGCGCCAACTGCGGTGTAACATGCCCGCTCTCGGCTCACAATGGCTGCCCACGGCCGTGAAGCGAGCTGTCCCCTCGACGCCCCTAGCCATCCGAACCCTCGCGACGACTACTTCGACGACGACGACGACGCCACGGAGAAGCAACGACCCGTTCTCAAGCTTTGGTGGCGGTGACAGCAGCAGCAACGCTCTCAAAGAGCAGCTCGAGGCGATCCGGATCCCGCACGTGGGCGTAGTTCACGCCCGCGCGGTACCCTCGACGCCGTCGTACTTTTCGCGGACGCCGCGCTTCAACGACCTGCACATTCAGCTGTCGCGACTGCTCGCCCGCTACAACCACCTGCCGACGGTGGCACCGTCCGAGGCGGCGCCGATGCCGTGGCTGAAGCTGGAGGCGGTGCGGCGCGAGCTCGGGGAGCCGATCAAGGCGTCGCACTTTTCGCAGGTGCTGCGCGTGGTGCGGCGGCTGCACAGCATCGAGCCGTCTCTGGCGCCGAGCGAGGTGGCGACGGCCGTTGCGCGCTTCGCCAAGCCCATCAACGCGCTGCTCAACGTCGCCCGCCCGCAAAAGGTCGACCGCTTCGGCCGCGCCATCGGCGTCGGCCGCAGGAAGACGTCGACGGCCCGCGCCTTTGTCGTCGAGGGCACCGGAGAGGTCCTCGTCAACGGCAAGACGATCAACGATGCGTTTGGCCGCGTGCACGACCGCGAGAGCGCTCTGTGGGCCCTACTGGCCACCGGCCGCCTCGACAAGTACAACATCTGGGCCCTGGTGGAAGGAGGCGGCACCACGGGCCAGGCCGAGGCTATGACTATGGCCATTGCAAAGGGCCTTTTGGTCCACGAACCGGCTCTGAAGCCTGCTCTGCGTAAAGGTAAGCTATACTCTTCTAGTTTTCTACCACGTACGCAAGAGACGTATCGTTTGCTAACCTGTCATTTTTTTCGCCTTCGGCTGCAGCCGGCTGCATCACGCGGGATCCCAGAAAGGTGGAGAGAAAGCTGCACGGCCACGTCAAGGCTCGCAAGAGCCCTGCCTGGGTTAAGCGATAGAATAAACAAAAAAAAAGAATCAGGCGGCAAAGTCCCAACGGTGCGTCCGGCTCCCAGAGAGAGAGTCGGTATTATCATTTGCCGCATCGAGCGGGCGTCCGGACACTACAATGCTACCGGAGTTCCCTGTTCTGGTCACCTCGAGCACCAATGTATATTATCATTCTGCTGCATGCATTTCATCCTGTGTAGTTATAACCAGAGAAAGCGACATTTTTCTTTTCCCTCGATTGTCTTGAGACTTTTCCCTTCCCAACCTTCCCATTCACTCCATTAGATGATGTCGGTTTACCAGGTAACAACCAGAGTTTCCCAAGCCTCGTGCAAATACGGTGCAAGGGATCTGGGTCGCGACCGATGCAGCTCAGGTTTAGCTGACGACGTTGGGGAGCCTGTCGCAATAAGCGAGGCTAGGTGTTGTTTTCTCATCCTGAAAAACTTTCCTTGTTTCTCACCATCGCGCTGCTAGCCTGCTTCCCATAGCCGATTGCCCGCATGCGTGCCAAGCGACCAAAGGAAGGCCCTTGTCCTGCTGGTGCAGTCTCGTCCAAGTGTGTTCGACTGAGAAATGGAGAAAGCTGAAAACGTGCTCGCCAACAAGCGTAAATATGCATGCCAACACACTGATACTATTCAGTGGCTGGGGCTAAACCCCGCAAAGGGATACACGTCTCGTCCGTCTATCCACCTGGACGCCGACTAAAGACACAAACGGCTCTCGCGATGTACTTGCAGGGGAGGGTTCACTTAAATGCGGCACAGCGGAAAACACTGTCTTGAACGGCGCACGCAGAGACAGGCATCAAGTCGGACCGACACATGTCGTCAACTCCCGACAATCTGCGTTATACATACCATCCTTGTCTGTGGATTCAGTGCTTAAACTGGCATATTAGCTCGCTTCGAGGCCTGTCTCCCTCGTGGTTGAACCCTGTTAGTGGCGGCGAGCACGGGTTCTATGAGTGCACATCACCCCTGGCGCAGATCAGCGCGTGTGAAACGGTGAAAACCAGGGTTGGAAATCCAAATAACTAGTGATCATTTCTACTTATTCTTATTCCGCGAATCGTTAGAAAAGCTAATAAAAATACAGATTATATATTGAATACTAATACATAGATCTTTATCTAAAGATTAAAGTCATTCTCTTTTTTTTTAATAAAAGGCTTTATTAAGCTATATAATAGAAAAAATAGTCATTTATATACTTTAAAAGCTAATGACTTTTTGACCATTTTATTTAGTTTTATATTACTATATTAAAACAGCAGCTTGAACTACTGCCGGTACCCCACTGACCATTTCACTCACCGGATTTCCAACCATGGTGAAAACGTGTGATACTGAGTGCCAAGATTTTCTCTAGGCTGCGAGCGTCGCCATGATTCGAGAGTCAAAGCTTGATCACTCATCATCCGTATGTGGGCCGATCGGGAATGGTGCAGAGATAAGCTTTGTCGGTAAGTTATCGTAGCTTGTGATTGATCTTGAGTCATTGCCGTCCTTTCTAGGTATCACCATGACGGGCGACGTAATAATGGTAACATGACAAGGCTTTTGTTATGCGCGTATCTACTCTACCTGAACCATGCCTATGATGCTGAGTCCATATATCATCTCCAAGATCCCCAAAGCACCCTACTTGCCTACAAGGGCTGTCACAAGCGCAGAACCACTCGACGATGGCGATGCTGCTCATTCTCGAGCCGATAACTAGCTCGACAACGGGAAAAGCGTCTACATGTCGGCTGCCCAAGAATCAGCGGGCTGTCTTATAACTCCCGCGCTCTGATTAGCGTCGCGGTAAAACGGCAAGACAACCTGGCAGGACAAGGATAAACAACATGGCACTGGGTATCAACACGGCGCTTAGGTAGTATCACGCCCCACCGCAAGTCGGCCTACTTGTAATCATCAATTAAATTGAATGTGGGATTTACAGCCGGGCGGGCTCTCGGCCGCGAGGCCTCCAGGTAGCTCTCTGGGCCAGCTTTTTCCGGTATCGCTGCACAATGTGCGTCGTGCTTAAACAGTTTCCTTGTCAGTCTGAGTCGTAGGCACCAGATGCTGGAAACGGCGCCAGGCTATGCCTCTTTGACCGAGGCATCGTCTGGCAAACTGATCTCTCGTTGGGGGGGCATTGTCAGCATGCCTCGTGTCTGTGATTGGACTTATTGCATAGACTTTACCATGGCGTCTAAGGGCTTGCTAGCTACGGATTACGTGGAGAGTTAGACAAGCACATGCCGAGTAGCTCCGTATGTGGCGTGTGGATGGTTGGATGGAAAAAGCAGGTAGTCATCGGCCAAGCCTCGCGGCACCTGGTCGGCAAAGCAAAGAGGCTATACTGACAAGAACAACGTTACAAGCCTCCTGCAGCAATTGGACTCTCGAATTTCGATAAAATGCGGCAGTTGGTAAGTTGCAGGGGTAGCAGGCAATTAGTTTGCAAGCGCCACCAGGGTACCGCTCTTAATTGTTGACGAGATGACTACCTAGTTAGTTGACTGGCGGACCAGCATGGGGAACTCATTGAAATTCGTTCAGACAATATTGTTGGCCATCCTAATTACAGCGCATTCTTCCAGCGCCAAGTGCAGGCAGGTCGTGGATAAAACTTGGCAACTTGGAAGCAGTGCATGAGATCGACGCACATCCCATATGCTCTCGCCCTTTCCCAGTTTGGTGAAGAGGCTAGGAGAGTACGAGGCAGGACATACGAAGGGCAGCCTGGCAATGTTGCAGACTCAACAGACCCAACAGATTACTAGAGCGCTCGCAGTTTCGGGCCTTGGGGAGCGGCGCAAGAGGTGGAGGAGCAGTTTGTGCCTTTATTGCGATGTTTCGGGTTGGCGGAAAGCGCTTTTGCCTTTCCGCTTTTGATAGCTTTCAGCTCTCGGCCTTGCCGCGGCCTCTGCTAGTAGTAGTAGTTGAGGCTTGAATTGAGACGAATGTCGCGGGGAGGCTTTTATGCTTCTTATTATGATGCGATTCGGCAGGTGGATGTCCGGTCGATTGCCCAATGCACTAGTTTCGCGTTGCAGCGCATTAATATGCAAGTGTGTGCTTAAACGACTCTTCAGAAGGATGAGGCATGATTTTATGCGAAGCTGCCGTCTTGTTTTCGTCATGCAAGCGAGCGGGCATTTAATAGTCGTTCGATGGGCTTGCTTGTTCACGGGTTTGTGTTTCCTTCTAGAGCACAACTGCGAACGAGACCGTTGCTTAAGGGATATTGCTGGCGGTCATGAGCTGCTGGTGCGACCGCCACGGGATCTGCCCTGTATTGAATGCGTGGTACGTCATGTCGATTCGACCAGGGACAGAGCTTCCGTCCTCCGTAAAGGGTAGTATGAGGCAGCCCTGTGCACACTAGCTAGCACTCTTCCTGGCACTCTTCGAATCTTGTCAGGGCCGGTCTGCTCTTGTTTCCCGGGTCAATGGAATAGCCCGTACATGGAAGAGCCCGGAGAGGTCCGTGGTAATTTGTTAGTAGCGCGAAAATCAAGATCATCTTTTGCACGTGGTGTAGTGCTCAAACAGTCTGTCATGTCAGGGACCGGCATTGATTGTCAGCGGTGTCAATGCGAATGTTCTAGTGCGTTCCGTAGAATAGGTAGGTATGCTTTTTAAGCGCATTAACCACCATGAGCTAGGCGGAGAGAGTGTAGCGTGCCACGCCCATGGTGTGTAGTGTTGTAGACCAACGGACTTGGCCGAGCTGTATTTCGGGCTAGAATTGACTCGAGGCTGATTGAAGCCGCAAAGAACTGTTTCAAGAAAAGGACAGGGTAGATGACAAAAAGCTATTCTCGGTCTGAGCATTGTAAAGAATTTGATGCGGCAAGATGAAGTTTGGTGGTAGCCTGGCGAAAAATGGGCTGCGAGACTGATGAAGCAGACGCACGGGGCCACGGGGTCTGATGGGGAACCCAGCATTGATTGGGCAGCAGGCGAATTGACAGGCATTGGCGTGTCATGGTTGGCAATAACTATTTAGCAGCTGGCAGGCGTTTGGGCCGAGTTACAGTGCTTGAGTGAGTGTGCCTGCAAGTAGTTCCAGGCATGAAAAAATATCTTGCATAAAGCTGAGTGGCCAGTTGTTAGTTGTTAGGTGTTTGCTTGAAATTGATTGATCTCCACTGACTGTAGTACAAGGCGCAAGTTGACTGTCAACTGTCAAGTTGTCCTGACTGACCAAATTCCAAACAAGCTGTGAGGACAGTTTGAGTTGACAGGCGGGCAAATGATCCACGCAACTATTTAGCCCGCTCCACTGGAAGAAGAAAAGCTGCTAAAAGTAACCTGTTTTACGCTGTTTTACTTTGGCGCTAAATAAGTTTTTCGCCTGTGTCTAACCATGTACCTCGTGGCTACACATAACCTGACCACAGTTGCATGTACCTGAGCAACTGGCAATGGCGCGGCCTTGCCTGGTTAGGAAATTGATGGGTCGCGCCACTGTCAGGCAGCGGGGCTCCTTCTTCGAAGATGATGAGGGCTTCGAGGGGCTCCTTGGCTTGGCGTCAACGACTTGCAACAAACCCGCCGCCACATACTAGCTGCGAGCCTGCGACGTCCGTCTTTTGCACCATGGTTGTCGTCTTTTCTATTCCAATTCTCTTCTCGCTTCGTCCGTCGGTCAAACAAGCCCATGGCCCGGCTCATTCTACAGCCCTCGCTACCACAAGAGCATTCACGTCTGGCCTCTAGGCTTCTGATGCCAAGCCAAGCACTTCCATCGCACGTTGTGGCATGTCATGGAGTCGTCATGGAGTCGCCGGATGGCATTCTGGGCCTGGCTGCCGCAACATCGCATGTTAGCTAACTAGTTCTGCGACTCGCCTTTCCCAGCCTGGGCCTCGGTGTGCCGGGCTCTCGCAGCTTCTTTGGGCGACCGACAGCATCGTGACAAGCCAACAGCAATCATGTCCCAATCAATGGTCGGAACACGTCACACTTTGTTCCACGCCGATCTTCTTGAGGAAATGAGCAGGCCTGTCCATTAGATAGCTCAGTGGCGCCCAGTCTTCGGCTTCCAACGAGCGGGGGGAGGCGTACACCCCGTTCCTCAAAATTTATCCCCTTATTTATTGGGAGGCGTCATTGGCGCGGTCTTCGCTCCCATGCCCAACCGACTAAAGTCCATCCTGTGTGCAGCACCTCTAGTAATTCAAGACAAGGTTTATCCTCGCGTCCAGCCTGTGGGTGCTTGTGGGCTTTGTTGCTGCTTCGCAGGCACGCAGGTAGTATCCCGCTCAGCTACACCGGCCATGCTCACCTTTGCCCTGGCACGACCCTGTCAATCATCGCCTCTTGCAGCAGGCCAAGCCAAGGACGCGTGATCTTTTTGCTCGTTCGCTGCCGGCCGCTCGGCTTCGATTGCACTCAGTGCCTCGAATTTGTCAACTTTAGGGGTACTTGGAGGGGCGCCGGATCGCCCGTGCATGCATGCAGCTCACGGCCCGGTCAAGACGCAACTCTCGGCCGGATCTTGTACCTCGTCATGCTCACCTCCTGAGTCTTGTGCCAGAAAACTGCGCTGCTCGGCCATTTTTATGAAACAAGCCTCGTGCCTGCCCTTTTCCCTCACAATTGCACCTTGATTCCTTTTCATTGCTACTTGGTCCAGATGAAAACTACCCCGAGTCAAGCGCGCCCACCGTCCCTGGCAAGCTCATGCTCACCTACATCGGTCTAGCTCAATGCAAGTCTCAGCCACTAGCTGCAAGTCTCTTTGTCAAAACAGGAAAACTGTCAACGGTCTTCAGCTGCACTTACACATTTGTCCATGGGTGAACAAGCGGTTCGCTGTCATTAGCAGCCTGCTCGCCATTGTTGGGATGAATCCACTCTCTATAGTGGCTTGTCTTTGCGCCCTGATTCTGATTTAGTCAATTTCTCTCTCTCTCTTTTTTACTTTGGACTAGCCACTCAAGGTCGACATCTCTGGCACCGACTCAATTCATCTACACTGACTCGAGTGGGTGTCAGCCACGGCCGCCGTCGTTGACAAGTCGCGCATTAACGCTCTGGGTTCCGCCAACCTCCACAAAGCCTTTCCCAAACCCTTACCCATGTTAGCAGTAACAGTCTTTTCTTTGGTCCTTTCAAGTGTCTAAAAGTCAGGGTTTTCAAGCCCCCTGTCTTTCTTGGAGACAGTCTCTTCCAGGCCTGGCTGCAGTTGGAAGCCGGCTCTACTTGCAGCCCGAGCCCATCATCGCGATGCGCATAGCGGGTTCGCAATGCCTGGTTTTTGGGTCATGCAAATCAAGTCAGCCATGCTCAGCCGAGACTGAGACCCGACAATGGCTCGCTTATGCCAGCTCTCTCCCGCTGTTAATTACCGGCCCTGCTACGGACACACCCCTCCCCCGGCGACGTACCAGGCTCATCCTAGATGGGGTGTGGCTCACTTGTCGCCTTGCTCATGATTGACGCCCAAAATTTTTCCTTCAGAAACGTGACGCAGCGGGTAACCCTCTTGCGTGTCCACTACGTTGTACACTTGTCTGGTTTAGCATGTATATGTTCGTGTATAGCTTCCGCAACATTCCCCAGGCGAACGGTTTGTCGAAATACCCCAGGTCTGCCTCTGCTGTCGTTCCATCGGGAGACAGGAACTCTCTGCATTTCATGATATAAGACGGCCTCTCCCGTCTCCTCCACAGAGGGGTCTTATCCAAGCAATCATTGGGCCGTGGACAGCTCACCTTCCACTTGCTCTCAGCACGAGATCTAACCCCTGCCACATATATTCTGCTCCCCTCCTCTTCATCTCCCCTCCTTCTTCATTTTCCCTGTCCCTTCTTTGTATAACCCCTCTTCCTGGCAAATCCACTTGTTAGCCTCAGCTCATCGACATTGGCGGGTCTCCAGGCCTTTTGCTCGTCGACAATTTGGTTGCTCCGTCGAGCTAGGTTCCTCTCTGCATCCGTCCGCCCCCCTGGGCTCTCCGGGACCGAAAAGGTGGGCAACTATCGACCCAGTGGCGCTTTGCAAGGAGCTCTGTTCGTGGCGTCTCCTTCTGCCAAGCGCAGACCGACAACGGTTGCCCGTTTTTAAATCTTATTTCTGTCTCAGCATCGCTGATAGACGCTTAGCTCGATATTCGTCGGAGCAGGCCCAAGTGGAGCGTTCCGTCTTTGTCTGTCGGTGTGTGGTCCTGCCAATCATGAACTACTCGATCTGTGGCTTCATGCTCTACCAATCGCGTCCATCACATACACGAAATTCTCCCACTATCCAAGACCAGCATTGCCAGAAGCTGCTAGTTAAGGGTTCGCATTGTGACTTGGGCATAATCAGGAACTCAAACACACCTCACGGCCTTGTATGGCATCAACTCTTACGCGCTTACGTTGCCATTCTCTTCCAAGTCAAGCTCCGGTCTTCCTCAGCAACTTTCGGTTACTGATTTCCGAATTTCCGGTTTGCATATAATTGTGCGTCCACCGTTCCCTTTGGAAAGTCCTGGTCCGACGACAGTGTCCTCGAAGAGCTCTTTGACGGTGCCAAGTCCGAGGGGTCTTTGCAGAGCATTCCTCTAGGTTGTACGCCACCGTCATATTGGCACACTTTTACCCTTCGCCTGCTTCCTTGTCCCCGGCTAATCGCGAAGCCCAAGCTCTCGAGGCTTTGTGTGGAGAATTTGCCGGGGATATGGACGAGCACAGTCAGGGTCGACGGTTTAGTCAAGACACACTGAGCGATTCCCAGGGGACGAGATATGCGTCACTTGGAACCTCTGCCTCGCAGCATGAGTTGCTCTCCGACGCCTCGACAGAACGATACCGCCATGGGCCGCAGCAACAACTCGGGTTATCTTCCTCGGCGCGCACACTTGAAAGTAGTGCTGGCGCTGACGGCGAATACTACTCGGATCCAATGTCGACGTTTTCTGGTTCGACAAATTTAACGGCAACACAGATGCCTTACGGGCCCGGCTATACTCCTGGCGGTACTGAAGCAGCCGCGCGACAGCAGCAGCAAACAGCCGGGTTTGGCAGCTACAACGCAAGCATGATGATGTACAGTGTACCGCAAACGAACGCGCAAACTTCGATTTACACTACACCGCAATATCCCCCCTCATTATCGTCTAGAAATCACCCCATGTCATCCACGCCACTGCTACCCGACCAGTCAGATGTAAATCCGTCATATTTTGGAGAGGCAGGGGTTTCTCCCGGAACGACGTCGCTAGAGCATAGTGCAAACAGCGCATCGACAACAGCATATTACCAGGATGTTCCCGCTCCATTTCACTGCGCCGGAGTAGCAGCGGCAGAAAGCAGCAGCGGCAGCGTTAGCGGTACCAGCGCCCTCACGAGGGTGGAAAGCATCTATCACCTCGCCGATCTAAGTACCAGCAGCTCAGCCGCAATGGCCGAGACTTCCGGTCCGGATAGGACTGCTGAGTTTGTGGAAAAGTGGCAAGAATACCAGCGGCGACTGGCCAACCTCTTTCAGGATATCAAGAATGGGAATCTAGAAAGGGCGGCTGAGGGGCTATTGAGCGTGTCTTTTTGGCTCTTGTCAAGAGTGGAAGAACTAGGTCAGTATTTTTTTTTTTTTTGCGCGACGTTTCCTGTTTGTGTTGTTTTTTTATTTTTCCTAGTGTCTCTATCCTTGTCTTCGGCTCTGTCTCGCATCAATCTGTTGACTTGGGCCAAGCGACTAACTTTGGACATCTTGCAGGCCTCACCGAAGACGACGAAGACCTTCACAAGGACCGCCTAAAGCTATGGCAAGATTTCAACCACGCGTGGCTCGCGCTCGTTTTCAAGCAAAAACAGTACATGACGCGGGCTGATCCCAGCATGATAGTGCTACAACCTCTATCGATACGGACTATTAAGAGAATGGGTGACGAGCTGATTCGCCTCTGCGACGGCATCGAGCGGCATGGCCTAGTTGATTACCAATTTGGTGTCTGGGAGGATGAAATAGAGACGTGTAAGTACAGTTCGCGGCGACTTGGCAGACAGAAAAGCGTTGTGTCGTTGTGCCAGGCTACTTTACTGACAGGCTAAATGTTGTTAGTGCTCGAGGACTGCCTAACGCTTTTCGAGGAGAGGGACGAGGAAGCTCGCCGCCGAGACGAGGCCAAAAAATAAAGGATAACGTGTACATGATGAAGGAAGAAGACGAGGGGAGAAGCAGTCAAAAGTAATCATGTTTCGAGCCCTTTGATGAGCATTAGACTTGTATGTGGCGCGCATTTTTAGATTTTACAAAGCCAACATCTTTCAAGACCAAACGGCCCCTGCGACCGGACTCGACGGCAGCAACAGGCACATTACTCAGCCTTGTGAAAGCTTGCCTTTAAATCTTCAACGTGCAAGTATCTATGTATGCTATCGGTAACGTCATCAAGTCGGACTCTGGTTGTCTCTGTTGGCCCGAGAGTAATACGGGCAACGGCCTGCCTACCTGTTCTTTCCCCCCAATAAAAGCAAATTCTTATGACGAAATGTTTTTTTGTTTTTCCATCTCGATACATAGCCTTACCCGGCCGCGCCGAGAGATGCAAGTTTGTAAAAAAAATTAAAAAAAAATAGAATGAATAAATAAATAAAAAACGGTTGAGGGCGTGTGTATAAGAAAGGGAGTGACGAGGGAAACCGGCTGGCAGGATAGATCTTCTTCAACCTGGACAAGCTGAAATAACGTCGTTTTAGCTCTGCAATGCCAAACTCTAAAATGGGAACCAAGACCAGGCCGAGGCTTTAGATGGGATTTAGAAAAGAAAATTTATGGAATAAATTGTCAGCAGATGTTTCAAAAACGGCGAGAAATTGGAAAGGGGATGCCCCGGATCAACGTTCGCCTCTGATGGATTTTGTTTGTTGATGTTGCCAGGAAAGGGAATCTGTGCGCCGCGCGCGCCGCAGTCGCCGGTCCCCGCCACAAAAGAAAAAAAGGCAGATATATTTAGATTTCTGTTTCCTTTTACATTGTTTCGTTTCATTAGCGTTAGATGGGTTGATTGGTTGGATTTGTTGCACGATTGCGTAGCCAAGACGCGGAAACCGCCTCGTGTGTGGCCCGGGTAGCCTGCCGAAACGAGCAAGACATGTGTACCTACCTAGGCGCGCCGGCTTCTATTATCTGAACCTCGGAAATAACAGGGGTTCATTCACACGAGGGGCAGGGAACAAGCAAAACAAAGTCCGTGCTTGGGCGCAACGGGTAACAAAAGCTACGTATTACCAGTAAGCCTGGTTTATGCGGTGCGGTCATCGCTGATATCATGGAACAAGGCTGACAAGATGGTCGGCTGATTTTCCTTGGTTCGCTTTACAATGCACGACCAAAACTCTGGCCGGATAGTTGTTATGCTTCGGAAATGCACTCGCGGCGCTGCCAATTACTTTGTTGTTGACATGTGCAATGACAAACCTGCAACGGCAGTGGACGGATCAGAGTCAAGAAATGTATAGATATTGTTCGATAATCATTGTATCATAATGCCATGTCGTATTTTTAGAGTTCGTCTGGCAGTCTCCCAGCGACTGCAGTTTAGCGTGTAATGTTGCGTTTTGGACGTTGCACCCAGTCCCTCAAAATTGGTCTAAACCCCCGGTCATGTTAGCTTTGATCCATTAAATTACGAATCACATGGCCAAACTGTCGTAAATGTAGCCGAGCCGTGTTATCAACGGTTGGAAAGTCGCAACAGATTTGCACAATTATCCGTCGGCTGCCGCCACAACAATTTATTGTCGTATTGTCGTCACGGCCAGGAACCAATAATAAAAGGTTCAGCAACAACAAGAAAAGCAAAGTAAAAACTCACCTAAAGTCATGCTCATGCTCACGTCGGTATTTTCTACCATCTTGGTAAACTCCTCAAAGCTTATCTTGCCGTCGCCGTCCAGGTCGGCCTCCATGATGGTCTTGTCGACAATCTGCTGCAGCTGCTGATCCTTGAGGTTGTTACCGACCATCATCTTGAGCACGATGAAGAGCTCGCCGTTGCTGATGTAGCCGTCGCGGTCAATGTCGTAGACCTTGAAGGCGAAGCGCAGCTTTTGCTCCTTGTTGCCCTTGCTGCTGAACGCACTCAGGCCGGACACGAATTCCTGGAAATCGACGTCGCCGCCACCGTCTTCGTCGAAAATAGCAATCATGCTAGGGACATGCGCGCGTCAGCATCGCAGGTCTAGGGTTGTGGACAGTCAAGGCCGCGGTGCCTGCAGGGAGGGGTGCTCACCGTGTCGCGAGAGGGTTTGATGAGATTTGCGGCAGGCTGAGGAATTCATCGCGTTCGATTGTGCCCGAGTTGTCCTGTTTTGAACAGTGTCAGTACGGCGCGCCGACGACGTGCGTGGGAAACGAGATACCTTGTCCAGCTTCATGAAGCGCTTCCGTAGGCGATCGACTTCCTCTCTGTCGACTGTAGCGCCGTTAGTTCCGCCATGTTTCGATCTTATTTACCAGTCGCGGGGGTACAAACAGTTGGACCCTTGGACAATGTTGTCCAGGACGGCGCTGGTGGTGTTGCCCATGGCGGAGAGCGAGCGACAGGGGCTTGCGCGGGGCGGTATGTGAGGGGTGGCGGGCGAATCGCAGTGGCTTGGCAATTCGACGGTCCGAGATACAATCGTATGAATTCTTCGTCTAGGCTATCCCGAGGGCTGGTGGATGGATGTCCGGTTCACTCGTCGTCGCAGTCGTGGAGATGCAGATGTCGTGTGTATGGTGGTGTGCCTGACTAGGTAGGTATGGAGGGGCTTGTGTGTGGATCACGGGCCAAAGATCATGACGAAATTCTGCTACCCTATACCTTCTCAATTGTCCTTCAAGCTCTGTGGTGAGCACTTGGCGGTTTTGAGGCTTTCGAAGTTGCCAATGTGTGGGATCTTCGTCGAGCGAGTATTACAGGGGTCTTGATCCCATTGGGCAATATTTGTACGCTGATTGTTCCTGCTGAAGCTCGTATTCTGAATCAGGTGTAAGTCAATGCTGCGTAACGTACATGGCATGTCAACTGTGCTCGTTGCAATCCACCCTTACGGTCACACGGCAGCATAAAAAGAGTATGGCGGAGAAGTAGAAAAATAATTGTGACGACAAGTTCAGACGTCTGAAACTTTCTTAAACTCGGGTGTTGTTCACAGTCATTCAACTACTACAAGATCTGATTGTCGTTGCTCTGAGACGGTTACTAAGCAGAAGCCAAAGCCCAATGCAGTTTTACGTGCGCAGGCTCATTGCAACGCGCAGAAGTACCAAGCCGGCTAATGAAGGCGCTCAGGGTACTTTGCTGCCGTACAGTGGTTGCAGTGGCTGCCGTAGCTGCTTTCGGCGTAGCCTCCAGCGCTCTCAGGGGGGTCGAAAGAGGGGGAAAGTGGATGGCACATGCACGCGGCTTGTACCTCTGCGCGCCAAAGTGGCAGAAGAGTGACATTACATATCAGCACAAGTCAACAACATCACCCTCGTGCACCCAGTGAAAATTCTTCGCGCGGCAAAACAATCCCAACGTCACCTCATCCGCTGCGAGACTTTGCGCATCAAAAGGGTGCCACCACAGCACCTTTTTCATCTGTCAAATATCAAAAGCCTCCTTTTCAGACTCCGATTTATGACTTGAGTGATTTTTTTGGCGGATTTTCCGCGGGCAAACTGCCGTCTCTCACCACCCCTGCATCATGTCCTCACGCAAGGTTCGCGTCAAGAAGCTCAGCGTCAAGACTGCCCTCCCTGTGCTCAGGGAGGATCAGATCGATGCTACAGAGTATGAGACCATCACCACAGAATCTCAAATCGCAACCGGTGTCGAGCACGCCGAGGAAAAGGTTGGTCCAACGCCCCCTATCTGAAGCCTGATATCACGAGGTTTGCCACGTGACCGGCTGTCAAACCAACAACCCCTGCCACTTTTACGCCTCCGCGCATCACCATACCCCAAACCGGCACTAACACGGCCGGATCTGTTTAGGAATATCATTTGCAATCCATCCTCAAAGATGCCGGCACAAGTAATGACCAGGAAATTCCTGTCCCGCCTCCCCAGGAGAGCGAGGTAGACTATGAGCAGCTTTACCCAGTCCCCTTTCACAGGCCATCCACATATATTCGCTTCTCTCAGACTGTCGAAGAATGCATCAACTGCCAATATGACATGAGTACCGAAGACAATGAGTTCCTTAAGACATATAACACCAAATCTGGGTCGGCTGGTGCCCTGTCCGAGGATGACTTTGAGCTCATCATGGAGGTCTTCGAAGACACGGCTGCCGAGCAAACTCCCTTCGCTTCCGTTGATAATACCGTCGTGGCCTACGACATGATGGTGCCCGGACTCAACCACATTGGGTCGCAGCACCTGCTGCAGCATGCTAAAGCTATTTATGAGTACTGGAAGGCGAGGCGCCAAGAGGCTGGTAACAAGCCACTGCGTCCCATGCTCAAGTTCGAGACGCATCAAGAGACAGATGATACCGATCCATATGTCTGCTTCAGACGTCGTGAAGCCCGACAGACCAGGAAGACGCGAGGTCGCGACAATAAGATTGTTGAGACACTCAAGCGCCTGCGTCGCGAGTTGGAAGATGGCCGCCAGCTCGTACTCATTTCGTATGAGCGCGAAATGATGAAGCGTGAACTTTTGCACATGGAACGTGCAGTCTTTGAGGAGCGTGCGAGGCTTAAACACATTAAGCTCAGGCTCGGAATCAAGGGCGAAGACGAGGACCTCGTCAATCAAAAGGTATGTGCATTTGTTCTCCCCCGCATCGATAGCTTGCGACTAATTCTTGAATAGCCACAAAAACGAAAGCCTGTCGATACGGCGGCTGCTGCACGGGCTGCTGGCACACATGTCCGCACCCCAGTCCGACCTGACGGTCGCCAAATGGAAGCCGATCTCGTCCAGCTTGCTGACCAGCTTGCTGAGAAGGAGAAGGAGCTTCGTAACGAGATCGAGACCAAGGTTCAGAACCATCGCAGATGGAACAATAACCACATTGATCTTACTGTAGACCCCTTGTCGCCAGTACACGAACAGGGGCTGGAGCTCAAGTTCCGCCCAGCAAAGACGCAATATCTAATGACGCCGCCCGCCTCTGTATCGTCAGACTCGATGGAGGTGGACGAAGACGGTCCTGTACCAATGCAGCTGGATAAGCCGCACGCTGGCCCCGCCTTCCAGTTCAAAGCGGGCGGTGTTGCGACCGAGCCGTTGCAGACCAACCAACCTGCTTTCCGTCGCAGAATTGGTCGCTTGAGCCGCCTGTGGATAGACCGACGAGGCATGGCTACGCCGCCCCGAATGGAATCGCAGGGATACTCTGACCGTTGGAAGTACGACTCCGACGATGAAGACGCCGAGCCGCCGGTATATGATCTGGACCCATTCGACACGAGGGCGTTGAAGTTTCGCGCCACGATACCGCTTAGTTCATACCTCTTCCGCGGTAGACCAGGTATGCCGCCAGAAGCAGTGCCCAATGCGGCCAACAGAACGCTGCCGGCGCCACCACCGGCGCAACAACAAGCGCAAGCTGCTTCCTAGAGGCAGGCAGCGCACTTGTAGGATAGGATGGTTTGTATATAGCGTGTCTCTTCTTCGATATTTCGGAGAATCACCGAGCCGACTGGTTGTTCGATGTATCAGTATATAAAGCCTGGGATTGGCTCCTTTGTTTGCGCGGAGTTGGGAGTTGGCCTCATATTTTGGGGTTTATAGACGAAGATGCCACCCCGGCACAAAATTCATAAAAGAATAGAAAGACTGGTGGACCAGAAATGAGCGTCTTCTCTCGAACAGTGACCGTCTCTCATGAAATCAGGCGTCTTGTCATATAGGTTCGTCGGCACGGCGAGCAACCGCGGTGAGAGTGATGAAGGCGGCCGGGAGGTCGCACGTGGCGTTTATGCATGCATGACGGTTGCTCTGTATGATGTCGGTCGGGCCGGCGGAAGAATGAAAACTGCAAGAACATGACGAGAAGAGTCTTGCAAGGGCAAGCCGAGGAGAGAATCCTGTGGCGGGAAGTGTGGCCCTTACAAGCGAGGCTCAGCTGACCGAGGACGGTAGCGATGCGTTGCAGAAAGTGCCCGAGCGACTTGCAAGAACGAAGCGTAGCCTTGTAGCAAATTCGCACCTGACATGCTGACAGAGTCTCAATGAAGCAAGGAGCAGGAGTGATAAAGGGCAGTCATAGGAAGAAAATTTGCTCGAGTGTGGTTTGTGTAGAGAAGGCGGGCGAGCTGCCTGGAGGTAACAATCGCACAGAGTGGAGGAGGGAATGGACGAGACGGCCAAGTGTGGGGCTCCGTGGTGCGTTAGCAAGCGAGCGTATGATTCTCGCAGGAAATCTGTTAGTGGGCTGGTGGGATCGAACCTAGCCGGCCAGCGTCTTTTGTAATTTTTTCGATTTTTTTTTTGGCGAGTCACTGTTTGCGATTAGATAAGCTCCGGAATTTTTCTTGGTGGTGAACATTTTCCTTTGATCGGCCCACGCTGGTGCCCCGCCATGGGATATACAGACGACAATGCCGTCAAAGTAAATTCATAATTACTACTTTTAATTCATGACGACTAACTTTATATAATATCGCCACGACACTCACAGAAACAACTTGCAAAGTATATTGTTACACAAGTTAAGAACATACAATTTTCGACCACTTCAAAAGGTGAAAGTCCTGTACAAATCGCCGCATCCGATGACTACATGACCCCTCCATAGGTCATCTTCTTCCCGACTCCTTCCACCTCATACACTTCCACCACAGCCCCTCACCATGGACATGTCCAAGTCCTCCTGGGTCGCCCTCGGCTGCGAGGGCTCGGCCAACAAGCTCGGCATCGGCGTCATCCAGCACACGCCCACGTCGACCACCATCCTGTCCAACCTGCGCGACACCTTCAACGCGCCGCCCGGCGCGGGCTTCCTCCCCAAGGACACGGCCGCGCACCACCGCCGCGTCTTCGTGTCCCTCGCGCGGCGGGCCCTCCTCGCCGCCGGCATCACCGACCCCGGCGCGCAGCTCTCGTGCGTGTGCTTCACGCAAGGGCCGGGCATGGGCGCGCCGCTCACCTCGGTCGCCGTGGGGGCGCGCGCCCTGGCCTTACTCTGGCGCGTGCCGCTCGTCGGCGTCAACCACTGCGTCGGGCACATTGAAATGGGCCGCGCCATCACCGGCGCCGACAACCCCGTCGTGCTGTACGTCTCGGGCGGCAACTCCCAGGTCATTGCCTACGCCGAGCAGCGCTACCGCATCTTTGGCGAGACGCTCGACATTGCCGTCGGCAACTGCCTCGACCGCTTCGCGCGCACGCTCCGCATCAGCAATGACCCGGCCCCCGGCTACAACATTGAGCAAATGGCCAAGCGCGGCACCCGGCTCCTCGACCTGCCCTACACCGTCAAGGGCATGGACTGTTCCTTCTCCGGCATCCTCGCCAGCGTCGACGCGCTCGCCGCGCAGGTCCGAGCCGGCACCGCAGACTTTACCGCCGAAGACCTCTGCTTCTCGCTGCAGGAGACGGTGTACGCGATGCTGGTCGAGATTACCGAGCGCGCCATGGCGCACGTCGGCTCGCGGCAGGTCCTGATTGTCGGTGGCGTCGGCTGCAACGAGCGCCTGCAGGAGATGATGGGCCAAATGGCGGCGGAGCGTGGCGGCAGCGTGTTTGCGACGGACGAGCGCTTCTGCATCGACAACGGCATCATGATTGCGCATGCGGGGCTGCTGGCGCACAGAACGGGCTTCGAGACGCCGCTCGAGGAGAGCCAGTGCACGCAACGGTTTAGGACGGACGAGGTCTTCGTCAAGTGGAGAGACTAAGGGTGAAATATGAGATGCGACGATGGCAGGACTAAAAAGATGCATGATACAAGGCAAAGGGAACGGACACATAAATAGCGACTGCTTTAACTACATTTATACGATTTTTATTGTGATTTCATCAAACTTTCACGACTTGCATTGTAGGATTTGACAACACCATGTCAATAAAGTAGAAACCAATAAATCCATCTCAAAAGCCCAATATCTGCGCCAAGAATACAATGCTAAAACAATAAAGGATGCGATTGACTGTAATGCGGCACTCAACCATCATCCGCAGAGGTGGGCTTGTATACTATCGTCGTCACATACTACACCAACCACGTTAGCGACTGCCACGATTTGGAAAAATAAAGAGTCAGAAAGACCAACCTTGCCGCGATATCTCGTCGTCGCGCATACTGCGAGCACGTTGTTCTTGATGCTGCTCGTGGCCAGATGGTTCAGCACCGTGTGGTTGGGCATGTTGAGCACACTGTTGTCGTCCTTCATCAGCGTCGCCGCGTTGAGGATGGGCTTGCTGAGGAAGCCCGGCAGGCTGGGGGGCGTAGGAAGCTTCTCGATGGCGCCGACGGCGCTCTGGTAGGCGGGCGACTCCTCGGCCTGGTCAAAGTCGACCAGGTACTGGGGGATCTTGTGGCGGTAGCTGTCGCGCGGCGGGATGGCTTTGTACTTGGCGGGCTTGGACGGCTCCTCCACCGACGAGGCCGCGCCGCCGTTGCCGGTGCCGACGCCGGCGCCAGTGGCCACGGCCCGAACCTGGCCATCGCGTCCGGGCTGGGCCGCCTCGAGCTGCTGCTGGAGGGCCATCTCGGCGCTGACTTCAATGTAGTTGACCAAGTTGTTACCGAAATCGACAGTGGTCGGCAGGTCGGGCGATGTCTTCATGATGGTGTCCACGACGAAGCGGACGTGGTGGGTACCGGGGAGCACATAGATGATGCCAGCAAAGCATCCCGGTTTTCCCTCGCTGTCCGGCCAGAGGAGTTAGTTGGGTCAGTCCTGAGATCATGGCCTGCTGCCACAATTGTGTTGTACACTTACACTGGCTGTAGACGCTGCTTTCTGCTCCATTGGAAAATGGTACCCGTCACATAGACCTTTTCACCGCCGCCATTCCATTCGATCCGTGTGGGCACGACGGGGCGAGATCTGTCGACTCGCAGCTCATGCGAATCCTCATCATCAAAAGTGGCTTGGCTCACGGCAGAGCTCTTTCTTGTCAAAGCTTCCAAAGACTCCTGCTCGATTCCGGGAATATCGCCTCCTGGGCCCGACTCGTCAGCACCCAGAATAGGTGAACCAGGCGTGTGTACCTCTTCCTCAATAGGCAGCGGCAGGCGGGGTGGCCGAGCATTGTACATGTCAGTGATGCTGCCGCTGGGGATGAGATGGGCTTCTGCCATCTCGGAGTCGGTGCGGTTGAGGCCGGGAGTGCGAGAGACGGCCGGGGTGCCGCCGCCGGGAACGTCGAGCGGTTTGGAGGGCTCGGCAATGGGTATGGGCGCAGCAGCGGACTCGACTCCGGGTAGCTGGTGGTGGTGGACAAGCGGGACGGTAGAGGGCGTGTTGCTGCTGTTGTTGCGCGGGGAGGCGCTCAGGGAGGAGACGGCGGTAGGCGACAAGGTCGAGCTGGCGGCCGAGATGCTCTTTGGCCGCGAGGCGATGGAGGTTGAGCCTTGAGCCTGGGCGAGCGAGGGCTCGGGAGGGGCGGCAGCAGAGCGGTGAGTGGTGTGGGCGGGGAGTATGTTACGCGACGACGACGAGGCTGACGATGAGTCCTTGCTGGTGCGGGAAGACGACAAGGGGGGGAGGACGGCGCCGGTGGCAGTGGTGGTGTGGTGTCGTGCGGCGTCGTGCGTGGAGGGGGTCGGCGTCGAGGTCGAGCCCGACGGTGGGTGCGACGACGGCGGCGTGGCCGACTTGGAACCCGATGACTGGTTGTTGCCCATGCCTAACGGAGGAGAGACGTGACCTGACAAGGGATAAAAAAGCAGCAGCCGGCTTCGTCGATGGAGGGGGCGGGGCGTCTCTCTCGCGAACGCAGCAAGGCGGGGAAGACGGGGTTTTCCGGTGATTGGATAATGTGCGCGAATCGCAGATGGCCAGTCAGATGGCCCCGGGTCGGGTCGAGAGGCGATGGATGGGCGTGCGAAGAGAGAAACGACGATCTGCGATGGCGGAGCGATGGCGGAGAGGGAGCGAGTGCGTGAGATGTTGCTTTGCTACAAGGCGGCGGACCTGAAAGCGGGTGGAAGTGTACCTATTTAGATTCTGGGTGCCAAGGCCAGTGGGGGGTTTTGCCTCTGCCGCGAGCGTGATGCTGGGAATGTGTGCTATTGCACCGTAGCGGTGGATATTTGATTGTGATGAGGTTTCCGAGTAAAATATCAACCGAATCTTGATTTTCTGATACGATTATTCGACGAGATTGATTTCAGGATAAGCTGTTTTGGCTGTTCACAAGCTGTCGGTTTTAATTGACGTCAGATGCTTGGTTTTCCGAGAGCACTGCTAATGAGTCGTCAAACATACGTCGTGTCGCGATCCAATACCGTTCTTTCCTTAGGGAAAAAGGAGGAAGACGAACTAGATGAAATGTAAATATTTGCTTGAACACTGAGATGACTACTAATTTAGTAAGCTGCTCTGGCTAGAATGACGGTGACGGCGGCTGGTGGAGAGGGAAGCTCTCAGTGGACTCGCCCACTAAAATTGCTTAGCTTCATGAACGAAACCTTTGGTTAAATATCTACCTACCTACCTATGTTATTGATATATGTTTCTCTCGAGTATTTCGTCAAGTCTGCTGGTCACTCTTGACATGTTCTAAAACGTAAATCAAGATATCGGTACCTATCAGACCGCATGCTCACGTAGCTAGGCAGTACCTTGCAGCGCCCCTGCTCCCACAACACTCAGCTCTTCAACACCCTCAACCTCGTCATCATCGGACCACTACTCTGCTCCCCCAACATCACCCACACCCAGCCCGCCTCCCTCGAACCATGGCCGAGGCCAGCGACGCCTCCTCCGTCGCCATCGACACCGTTCTTTACGTTGCCCGCTCTCTCTGGTCCGTCCGATGGGGCAGGCACTTTGCGCGTCTTGCGCGCCTCCTCGCCCTGCCGCTGACGCTCATCACGGTGCCGCTGTCCTACATCGTCGAGGTGCTGCGCGTCCTTTGCGCTCCCTTGCTATACCTGCTTGCCTTTGCGGTTGCCTCTGCGCAGGGAGTCCTCTCGCTGCTGGTCAGCCTCAAGGTGCGTTGGTTGTCGCCCTTTCCTCCCTCCCGCTTGAATTCAATTTGATGGTAGCTAACTGGACCTCTGCGCAGCCGCTGTATAGCTTTGTGAGTCTGACACCCGACCCGCGCCGCTTTGGCCGACTCAACGGAAAACGAGAAGATGAGCAAAGGTACAAGGGACTGACACGGTATAGCTCTCGGCCGCCGCTGGCGTCGGCATTGTTGCTGGTGTCGTCCTTGGCGCTACATCATCCGTCGTCACTTCCTACCTCGGTATGCAAGACACGGACGAGGACCGCTACCAGCGGGAGCGCGACTACATAGACTCTTACGAATCCGACGAGGGAACCGACTACCAGTACGACCTCGACACCTACCAGCTCCACGCGGCACCAGCCTACCAAACACACTTGCGCCGCAGCAGCGACCCCGACGCTACGCCCAAGCGGCGCGTCGCCCGCGGATTGCTGTCGCAAACCATTCACGAAGAAGACGACTCATCCGACGCGTGAGCTGTCCGCATGCATGCGCATCCCAAAGCTCGCGATACGTCGGCGTTTAGCACATAACTCGCGTTGATTTATTCTTCCCACGCTCATCTTCAATATACCCTTTTTCGCTCCACGATACCCAACTACCACCTCGCTATATCTGAAAGAAGTCCTTCGCTTCCGCCTTATAGTTACAAAGGGGCTTTCCAACCCGGCCTTGTCTAATATAATAAATTCAAACAAATGACTTCCATCTTTGTGCAAAAGACCTGCATGTCTCCCATATTTTCTCGTTCTACCCAAGCCACGAATGACAGCCAACGCCCTGCAAACATCAAGTGATCTGGAATATTACATGCCCTTTGTCTGCGGTGCATCGCCGACCCAATTTCATCGTCGTTGCATACCGGCATCACGAACCCGGTCTATCGCCGGTACATTTCGCGCTCACGCTCGCGATGATCGCGCCGCTCCATTCCTGGAGACCGGCTCCTGCTAGTGCGGTGGTCTCTCTCGCGGTCTGGACGACGGTCATCTCTTGGCGGGCGTCGGTCGTCGCGCGGCGGTCGGTCGTCTCGGCGTCGCGCTCCATCGTCACGCCCGTAGCTGGGAATATACGTGTCCGTATCGGGGGCGCCCCGCTGTCCTCCTAGGCCACCGCCAGGACGACTTCGAGGCGCTCCCCGATCACGATCGCGATAGTCATCATCTCGGCCCCCTCTGTCCGGCGGAGGGCCGCGGCTGGGAGGATGTCCTCCGCGCTCGCGCTGCCAGGCTGGTCTTCTGTGATCGTCTGCGCCACGGAATCTGCCATTAGCGGCGCCATTTCGCCCGTAGCCATCGCCGCTGTTGAAGCCCGCCGTTGCTCCATTCGCGTCCGGCCCAATACCAACGGTGCCACCTTTAGGAGCGGGTGGCAGGGCTGCCTTGCGGTCTTGAAACTTTCTACGGTCCAGCTCGTGGCTTTCCTCGTACGTGGGAATCTCATGCGGCTCCATTGGTAATGGCTCCATTTTGAAGTAGGCGTGTTCCAGCGCGTCGACGGCATTGATGCGTGTCCTCCAGTCCAGCTTCATCAGCTCTTTGAGGAGTGATATTGCGCCACTTCCGAACCTAATGGCAAATGATCAGCACACAGCTCGAATGCACACTAACATGGATCGGCTTACTCTCTGAAACGATTTTGAAGATTGCCCGGACGTGGGCGCGGCGACATGTGCTCGGCGCCGGGGAGACTCTTCCAGCCAGGCATGTTCTCTTCCGTGGGGGAGCCAAGGAGGTCCCAAATGATATCGAGCTGATGGCTGTCGCTTTCTCCTGAGAGTATAGGCTTACCGACAAGCATCTCTCCAAACACGCATCTGATCATGTCAGTACTTGTCGCGAAAAGCATGTCAGGCTTCAAGCTTACCCAACACCCCAGACGTCAATAGCTGTCGTGTATTGGCGCAGCTGCAATAGCAGCTCCGGAGGGCGGTACCACCTCGTAACGACGAGACCAGTGTAGTCTCGACGACCATCCCCCATGGGCCGGCCGGGCTGCGGCGTCGGCCCGCTGTAATGCCGCGCAAGACCAAAATCGGCAATTTGAAGGTTGCCCGTGTTACTGATGAGCAGGTTGGCCGCCTTCATGTCTCGATGCAGAATATGCTGATCGTGGAGGTAACGTAGGCCTTGTAGGAGCTGAATCAAATAGCACTTGATCTGACCTTCTTTAAAATGGACAGCGGGGTTGTCGAGTAACCCGGAGAGATCGTGGTCCATGTACGGTGTGACGGTGTACATGATGTACTTTTTTCGTTTTTCGGCTAAAGACTGGTTAGCTGACTTGTGTCGAGAAATGGGAGTCCAACATGTGCAAAGCGTACAGGATCGTGAGGGATGCTCTACAGCCATGTCTTCTAGACGGAGAACGTTGACGTGATTGAGAATTTTGAGGAGTTTGATTTCTCGCAGAGCAGTGATGGGGAACTATAGTCATGTCAGAAACAAGGATTAAATACCGAGATAACGATTTAGCTTTACTCCATCCTTCTCATTGTGCATGATGATTTTTTTCAAGGCGACGATTGCACCCGTCTTCTTTGACCGAGCTCGGTGAACCTCACTGCAGGCCATGGTTAGCTGAGCGCGTCCACTGCTGCGCATCCCACCGCGAATACATACCCAAAAGTTCCTTCACCGAGTTTCCCTTGTAGTTCGTAGTCTCCGATGCGGGAGCAGCCGCGAAAGCTCGTTTTGGATCGCTGATGGGCGATGGCAAAGGAGCGCGGCGATCCGCCGTCCGGGGCCGAGGTTGGAGCGTAATCCATAGTCTCGTACGGCCGCCTGGAGGTGGCGCAGCGAAACTGGACGGAATGAAAGGCGACAAGTCGAGAAAAAGATGGCTATGATTCAACGGCGAGCAAAGGGCGAGGCATCGGTTCGCGACGAGGATTGTCGGACTGTGGCGCTAAGGAAACTTGGGACGGAGCGTGTGTGCCGCAGGCGTTGAGGAATTGTGCAAATTTGGCAGCAGAGGTTCGTGTCAAAGTTGGCGCAGGACATGTTGCGCCAGGAGGGCGTCTCGAAGGATGGGCAGGTTGCGCCTTGATGGGTGCAAGAGAAAGATGGGAAGCGGGCGGCGTGTTGATGAAATGGTGCGAGTGTAGAACTGTACGAAGTAGATGGATGAAGTTGGGCGAGCAAAAGCAGCAGCAGCGGGCTACGTAGGCAGGGTCCAAGTCGGGACGGTCCAGACTAGACAGATACTAGAAGACTACCTGGATATGCAAGCGAATGAAGTGGGATAGGAAGTTCCTGATAGGTATCCACCTGGCAAAGGTGTCCGAGGGGCGACAGGGGCAAGATGGGTGGTCAACGACGTGTTTGGCATGATGGTCAAGAGCAGGCTTTGGAACTTGATCGACTGCCATTTTCACGACTGGACGGTAATGACGTATCTTTGAGGTAGTCTTGGATTTTCGCGAAAGATGGAAAGACGTGGAATTTCTGTAAGGTAGTGTAGATAAAGAGTCTTGGCAGATTTTCCATCATATCGGCGGATCGGCCTGTAAGCCATGTCACTGTGATGCACTGTGCACCTAAATTATGCCCTGATGATAATTTTTTCTTGAGTTATTAAATAATCAAGAAGTAGCAATGGCAGGTCGCGGCTCGTGACAAGGCAGGCCAATCTTTTTTATGTTTAACATGAGCGGTTGTATTTTTGTAACGGGGAATAATCAGTTAATCAATTTATTCCATGCACATTTGACTGCGGTCACCATCTAGTCAATGAAACCGATCAAATGACGGGCTATTATTACCTTGCATCATCATTATAGCTCACGCCAACTAAATTTAGGTACCTACCTGAGGTACCGAGTTACCAACAACAGCCGCTGCCAAGCTGCAGTCTGCCAGCTGGCAGCAGCCAACTGCAAACCAAACCAGACCAGCAAAACACCAAGGCCAGTATCTCGGTTTGCCTTTTTCCACACACCATCTTCTGCCATCCACCAACCATTCTTCATCATCGACGGCTTCCCCCTCCCGCCCCTATCCATCCCGACGTTCAACTTGTCTTTCAACATGTCTACGCATACACCCCGCGGACCCCACCATCGCCCCGGATCGCGCCTCGCCGCCCCGACCAAAGCTGTCACTATTTTACTAGGCTGCCGCGCGACGCCTCCTACGGCGGAAAATTAAAACCATGACTAAAAAATACGTCTCAACGGGATTTTCTCGTCGCAACTTGAGCCACTTTATGGGTACTGACGGCTTTTCGCCATGTACGATTGTAGCCAACGCCCCAAACTCTTCAAAGAGTTGAAACACTACATGCACATCTTCATAGTCCGACATCGCTCGACGCCCGAAAACTAATTTTTTTTGGGTTTATTAATCGGCGGCACATCCACAACATCCTCCACAAGTTACGCATCATCTCTCACGGCCCAAATTTGACGCTGATCCCGAGCTCAACCCTTGCTCTATACCTCTTCGCAACACTTTCGTCCTACTCACGCTGTTCTGTCGCAACTAGTCGTGCCCGTACATAGCTTCCCAAGACAGCCGGCATTCACAATGTCTCCGGCCACCGTTTTCCCGCCCGCTGACCAGCAGCCCGGCCCCGTCGCCGCCGGCCTGCCCGAGTCTCGCGTCCTCATTATCGGCACCGGAGGCACCATCTGCATGCAGGAGGGCCCCGACGGCCTGCAGCCCAGTGGCAACTTTCTCGAGAGTGCCATGGCGCCTCGTCCTACTTTCAACGACCAATCCGGACCCCCTGGTTAGTTCTTCTACAGCGTCGCACGACTTCTTGACTTTCTGAATCACTGGGCCCGCTAACAACCCGTGTAGTTACCATACAAGCTAGCCTCAAGGGCAAGCTCATGTCCATAGACAGTCTGCGCACGCCGCCAACTGCCTACGGACGTCACATTCGTTATGGAATTGTCGAGTTTGACCCTCTACTGGACTCGAGCTCCATTTCTGCTAATGATTGGGATGCTATGGCCGAGTGCGTTTCTGAAAACTACAACCTCTTTGATGGCTTCGTTATTCTCCATGGCACCGACTCTCTGTCTTACACAGCTTCTGCTCTTTCTTTCATGATGTCCAACCTGGGTAAGCCCGTCATTCTTACTGGTTCTCAGGCGCCCATCTTTGCTCTCCAGTCCGACGCTGTTGGCAACCTTCTTGGCTCCCTCATCATCGCCGGTACCTTTGTGATTCCTGAAGTCTGCCTGTTCTTTCACAACCGTCTCTACCGCGGCAACCGCACAACAAAAGTCTCGGCTGCGTCTTTTCAGGCCTTTGACAGCCCCAACTTTGAACCGCTTGCCCAGGTGAACGGCCTTGGAGTAAGCGTCAACTGGAACCTCGCGGAACGAGCCAAATCCATTGCTCCATTTTGCATTTCCAAGCGACTTGATACCACCCACGTTGCTTGTTTGCGCGTCTTTCCCGGCATCAAGGCCGAAATGGTGGATGCTGTTCTGCACCTGCCCGACATTCGTGGTCTCATTCTCGAGACTTTCGGTATGGGCAACGTGCCCGGTGGTGCTGACGGTCGTCTGACTCAAGTCATCAAATCCGCTGTCGAACGCGGTGTTATTGTCGTCAACGTCAGTCAGTGCGTCAATGGCTTCGTATCTCCGGTGTACGCCCCTGGTACCCAGCTTGGCCGAGCTGGTGTCATTTTCGGCCTGGATTTGACTGCTGAAGCTGCTCTTACCAAACTGTCCTACCTCTTGTCTCTAGGAGTCACAAACCAAGCAATCACAGAGCTTTTCCCCAAGTCTCTTCGCGGAGAGGTCACCGAGATTGCCCACCCTACTTTCAGTCACCCTACTGCGCCGCTACAGAACCCTGCTTCCCGCCTCACAGATGTCGAATCTGCTTTTACTGTTCTGGGATACGCCATCCAAAATGGCCAGATTGCCGTCGTCAAGGATCTTCTCAAGGGCGAAGGAATTCAGCTCCTCAAGACGGCCGATTATGCTGGCAACACAGCTGTCCATCTTGCTGCCGTCTCTGGCGACGCTACTATCATGCTCGAGCTGCTTCAGCAGGGCGCCAGTGTTCACGAGCGCAACCGCGCCGCCAACTCGCCGCTGTTCCTCGCCACGCTCTCCGGTAAGGATGAGTGCGCGCAGCTTCTGAGAGCTGCAGGCGCCCACCTTTCACCTGAAGAGGTAGAGAGACAACCTCTCGCCACGGCTCCCCGCAAAGAGTAGTCTAAATCCCACAAGCAGTGTTGTAGTGAAAGTAATGCTGAGGCTACTGTGCGACATCATATACCAAGGAAACGGCTTCATGTGATGGCATGAAAGTGGTAGGACATGTTTACGATTTTTTTAAATTAAAAGATAAGCTCGTCGTGATTCTCGAATGAGGCTACAGCCTAAAAGTACAATTGGCGCTGATTTCAACACAGAAACTAATGAGATATATGCAATTACGAAAATGAACGATATGAATTACAATTAACCCTCTTCTATCTCCCATGATTGAACCAAGCAAAATGACACTCCAGGCTGGTGCACATGCAGACAGAGCGGAACTGCGTAATTGGGCCATTGACGTATACAACTGAAAGTCGGTCGAATTCGCTCAATCTATCAAGTCAGAAATATGAAGAGCTATAAAGCCTAGCTTGTGACTCTTTGAACGCAAACAGAAGCCAGTTTGGATTTTCAATCATGACAAGGTGGAAGAAGCCGATGGAGAGGAGAAAGTCGATACTACCACGAAAATAGTTGAGCTGCAGGAAGCTCCAACTTTTGGAAGCACCTCGAGAAGGAAGAAAGCTTGTACGTGACACTGACTGACATGAATTTCTCACTGGGAAAGGCGCAGCTGGGCAGCAAGGTCGTTTTGGAAGACGAGGCGACGAGTCAGATTGGTCTTTCTAGAGACGAGACTGTCAAAAGAGTTCAGGAAGAGTCATTGATAGACTGCACAGTGCTCATGGTTGCTCATCAAAACCAAGCTGTGATTGTCATTTACACATTTAAGCTGTTAAAGGGTAGAGTCGTCAGCCAGTATTAGCAATGCCAGTAGTTATCCTCCCAAAACGAATACGGGTTTCTCCTCTCCGCTCTTCCTCTCTTCTTCAACTGTTCATTATCCTCCGAAACATTCCATCCTCAATATACCGCTGCTACTTGAAACCATGATCAAGCCAACAGCTTTTGCACAGCAAAGTCAACCTCGTCCGCGTTTCCACAGACCAACCCGCCCGTCTCGTTGATATCCTCAACCGCCCTCCCCAAGACGTCGGACCCATCCGCCGCGTCGACCGCCTTGCCGCCCGCGCACTCCACCACCATCGACACGGGGCACAGCTCAAACAGCCTGCGCAGCTTCGCCCTGCTCCCCCCCGTCACCGGCGAGACGTACACCCCGTGGCCCTTGGCCAGCCCGTGCGCCACGTCTGGCACCAAGCCGCCGCTGTACCGCAGCGTGTACCGCTCCGAAATGTAATGCTGCACGAGCGCCATGTATGCCGGCGCCTCGGACGCTGCACGCAGGTTCGCCGGCGCAAAGTACCGCGGAGTCGTGGCTGTGGCTGCGGCTGCGGCCGTGGTGCTTTCGCGGTAGCGCACCACGGCGCGCGTTACGACCGCGGGCGCGCTGGCGCTGTCGTCGCCCAGACCAACTTCGAAGCATACGGCCGGCGACGCCGCGCCGGGCACGCGCAGCGCTACGAGCGCCGTGTTGCGCGAGCCGTAGCTAGCGAGCACGGCCGCAATCTGCTTCGTGCGGGGCGTCTGGCGCAGCGCCGACGGCCCGTCCCAGATGCCGATAATGGTGCCGACGGCCCAGCCGGGCCCGATGATGGAGCTGCCGTCGAGCGGATCAAATGCGGCAGAGTAGACCTCCTCGCGGCGGTGCTGCTGCTGCTGCTGCTGCGTGGGGACGGGGACGATGTGGGAGACGGGACGCTCGACGGGGTCCTCTTCGCTGCTGGCGGTGACGACGCAAGGGCAGCGGGCGAGGGCGGCGCGGAGAAGCGACTCGGCGGCGACGTCGACGTTGAGCTGCTCGTCGCCAAAAGTGTTGGTGCTGCCTACGGCGACGACGGAGTGCGCGCCGCGGAGGGCCTTGCTGATGTCGGCGAGGGTTGAGATGAGGGTGGGGAGGACGGATGTGCAGAGGGCGCTGCGTTGAGCGTAGGCAATGGGGCCGAGGATGGCTTGCAGATGATCATGTATCGAATCTGAAGCCATTTTCTTTTTTGCGAATTTATATGAGTTGCCTCGGTGTGAAAAGGACGACGTGTTGATGTGGGATGGTGATGCTCGCATGGTCGAACCTCAAAATCGCTCAGCTATGTGTGGACCCGCGTGGTTGGACCTGAAGCAGTTGGATGGCTTGTACGATACGAAACAGCAATAATTGTAGACTATCGCGAAAAAGAGAACTTTTAGTTTCCATTCTTGGACTATAGTTTGTGATCTATATTCTAGTGTCATACCCACAGGCGGAGTATAGGGCCACGAGTTGAATCCAATATGTAGGCAGTTAGTGAGTCTTGCGCAGAGCGGTAGAGCTCGCCAGCAGTGCCGCAATGAAAATTAAAGCAGTAGCTGACGCAGAAGCCATAAAACAATACCGGATACCATCGTAGTAAACATGCTGTACCTTGAGTCGAATTTCGGGCGGAAGGTTGTGGAGCGCATCTACAGAGTGTCGGATGTCCTCGATGATCTAAACAATGTAGCGAAGCAACAAAGACCAAACGTTAGCGAACTATAAAATGAATAGAAGCATATAGTCTCTTTCTGCCCTTATGTGGGCATCGATAGGGTCTCACTTTCCATTTGTTTGGAACATCACCCAAAGCCTCCGGCAGGCGAATGCTGAGAGTCGTCTGCAGGATGGCTGATGTTATCGAAACCCCCCACACTGTACCAAGAGATCGGACTAGATAGACGGTCGAAGCGGAAACGGCGTGATCTATGAGCGCATGTTAGAGAATTGGTGCAAAAACAAGCTTCGGAGGGAGTAATGGAGCCTACCAGCGTGCTCGAAGGAAGACAGCGAGGTGAAAAGAATCGATGGATAGATGATGCCTTGGCCAAAGTTGGCGGGAAAGATGTAGGCAAAGTACTTCCAAGACGAGTCGGAAAAGGCAAGAGTGGCGGTCAGAATATTGCCGAGTAGCATGAAGAAAGCACCGACGCGCACGAGGGGCACAAGCTTTCCCAGCGCGACATGACAACGCCAGCTACGAGACCGCCCAAAGGACCAGCAAGCGACGGAATGGCAAGGCGTGCGCCGGCCTTTGCAGCGGGCTCTAGTAGAACAGCCTGGAAGAAGACAGGTAACATGAACAGGTACTACAGATCCATTAGCGTCTGTGTATTTCCTTACGCAGGCAACGTGACTTACAGCATAGGCGGCCGCACCAGCTAACAGATTGGCTGTCTGGACGAGGACCGGTAGTGTTCCTTTAAAGAGACGCAACGGGACAATTGGCATAGCGCTTGTCGTTGCCTCTACGTGCAGGAACAGGCCAAGCAACACAAAGCTGGTGACCACGAGCCCAATAACCCAAGGGCTGCTCCACGGCAGCTCGTTGCCGCCAAGACTCAGTCCGAGCAATTGTAGAGAGATGGCCGAGACAAGCAAGACTGCGCCGCGAAAGTCTACACGCTTCCAGACCAGATCCAGTCCGTCATTTACAGAGGAGGCGATGCCCGGCGGATTGGTGAGCACTTTTGCGCCAAATACAAGGGCAACCATGGCACAAGGCACCTGCGCGATGAAGCACCATCGCCAGCCGATGGTGTCGGCAATTCTGCCACCAAACGCAGCACCGCCAATCGCACCAAAGCCCACGATGCCGTTTTGCATCGCCTGATACATGCCGCGCTTCCGAAAGGGGATGAGATCCGAGTTGATGATTGTCGCTGAACGAAGTAGAATTGGTTAGCAAAAAAAAAAAAAAGAGAATAAAATAGCTCGCCCATGGTCATGAGGCCTGCGCCGCCGATGCCAGCAAGCGCGCGCATGCATATTAGAGTCAAGATGGTCGGGGCGAGACCGCAGCCGAGGCATCCAATCGCAAAGGCGATAGAGGAGATGAAGAAGCACATGCGACGACCAAATGTCCGAGACACGGCCGTACAGTGGCTGAAAGGCAGCCGACGTGATGAGGTAGGACGTGGTGAGCCACGACGCCTTGTTGGCGGCACCAAACTCGGAGCTGATGACGGCGTATGTGGACGCTGTGATTGTACCGTCGAAGCCGTACAGGAATACATTGGTCATGATGGCGATTTCCATCCACATGAAGCCGGCAGGCGGGGTCCATGTGGCTTCGTCGGGCTCCTTTAAGATCGGTTGATTTGCTCGACTCGACGTTTGATGCAGAGCCCTCAAGTCTTCAACATGATTCTGAATACTGCTGTTGTCAAGCAGCAGTGGCTGGTTCTCGTTTGGTTCTAGAGGGGTTGCGACCGCACGGGGAAGGACCTTCGTCTTTTTGAACGTCATTGTTAAACCAGTTGTTGTCAAAATACCTAAATAATGAAACGAAACGAGCAGCTAGAACAGGAACAGAAGGAAAAAGAAGGCAAAAAAAAAAAAGACTAGGAGTACGAGAGTCCCTTGCAAGGAAGGAGCAGCGAGGAGACGAGATCACCATCACAAAGAAGATTACAAACAAAAGAAATCCCACCGTGGGGCAGTCTCACGAGGGACTGAGAATTAGTCTCGGAATCATGGCCTAACCTGGTCTAGCACGACTACGTTGTATTGAGTTAGTACTGCGACCGCTGTTAACTAAACCCGGCGCCTTTCACCTGGCTGTTTGCAGCAAACAACCACTTAGAACTGAGATGCGTCCACTGAAAAAGGATAAAAAGCCTGTAGCCCGATGCAAATGAACATTGTTCACGCCTCATTTGAATGATACTGAAAGTCCCTATAGAGAGCTGCCGCCCGTGCGAGTCTCTCTTATCGTTGCCCCAAAGACAGAAGTCCGCCGACTGACAACACTCTTGATCATTGATTCCACTCAACATCAATGGTGCAGCTATTAGAGCTGCCTGTCGAACTTCAGGTTGAAATATTTGGTCGTTTGGCATTTCCCGACAATGTCAATCTCAAATACACCTGTCGAGGTTTATATGACTTGATAAATTTCGATCTAACCGCGCAAATGGAAGCAGAGAATTCGAAGTATGCCGTGGAAAAGCGCTTGTTTGTTTGCAACGACTGTCACCGCATGCGACGGTCCCACCGGTTCGCCGATAAGATGATCAAGAAAAGCAGGCGACGGGGTGGCTCGGAGGCGCTGACAAGATTTTGCATCGACTGTGGTGTAACTCCAAAGGGTGAAAAGAATAGCTTACGCTACACGCCAGGCTCGCACATATCTATACAAGGCGTACATCACGTTATATGTCAGGCGTGTCAAGCATTTACCAGAGGGGCGCAGCGCAACCATGGCGTGAACCTGCGATACTGTTTCAGGTGTTGGCGAGGACAGCATGCAGAAGACCAGCGGCGCGAAATCGAACGCAGATCGTTGGATATCCAATGGCGTGGATTTTTGGAGAATAGGGCGTTGCGACGCTCCGATTACGATGAGAACGCAGAAAATCAGAATTTGGATGACCGAGTTTCCAGCTTGACTTCCGACGAAATCTATATGGACATGATTCAAGCTGAGGCAGACGGATACATGAATAGTCCTAAGGCGGGCTCCGAATGATTCGGTTGTCTACTTGGCAAAACCAAGCGTTCTAAGCTCAAAGCGAAGCTAAATGAAAACATAGAGACAGTAAACATGCAAACAAGCGTGGACCAGTGATTGTAAATTTACTGCTTTTGCTTCGTCCACTGCTGCAAGATAGCCGAGGTCGTTCGATTTAGATCCTCCGCAATACGATTATTTGTCCAGTCACAGCTCTTTAGGTCCCGAAGCCGCCGCGTATCTTCATCTGTCCACCGGAGGTTCTGCCTAATTTCTTCGCGGTGTCCGAACCCAGGTTGCCTTGCTCCGGTCGAGGGGAAGTCAAGCTCTGAGAGATCAAACTCTAGCAAATCCCGTACTATGCCGGGTCTCCGGCGATTTAGCACCTTATATGCCGGTGAGTCTTCGCTGTCGCTGATTTCGCTATCGCCTGAGACATTGTCATGTATTAGAAAGTCACTGCCGACTTTGCTGGTGCCGGAACTTGGAGCCACGCTGACATATTCGACAGCCTGGGATGCTTCTGTCAGTGATGGAGGGGGTAATGGCTGACTAAAGGGAAGTGAGGAGAGAGGTCGCGGATAGATAGCGGTAAGGTAGTAAGATAATATAACTTTATTATCTACTAAGGAGCTAAAGCTTCTTAGTAAGTAGTTTACTTCTAAGACCTATGATAAAAAGATAAACAAGTATTTAAGAAAGAAGTATTCTTATAACTAGGTAATCTAGATCTTTACTGATTAATTTAAGTAATTTTAAGTACTTAGTTTTAAGAGTTTTACTTCTAATAATTCCTTATACTAAAGATACCACTTATTATTATTATATAGTATTGAACCTAACTCATTAACTAAGAAATAGATTAAGTATAGATTAAGAACAAGCTATTATTATAGTTTCTTACTAGGTTATATCTAGTATTCTAATCTAGGCGTGCTTTTACTACCTAGTTATTAGTATCTAGACGTCTAATTACTAAGGCCTAGTCCTGCTTTTTCATTATCTAACTCTTCTTTTCCTCGCCGGCTCACGTATTTACTAGAGTGAGTGTTAAGCGTAAATTGAGCCTTATGTGGGTGTATATTGTCTTTAACATTTTTATAGCTATTCTTATTTACTACCTATTTAGAGTCTGTAAGGGAGGTCTCGGCCTGGGCAACCTTTTTGGCGGTAAAAAGGCAGCTAAGCCGAAGAAGAAGGAGGTGGCTGTGACGGAGAAGGCGGCCAACAGCCATGGCTCGGCTGCTTCCACGCCGCCAACCAACTAACATGGGTTAGCATGCGTCAGCCATTTACTTACCTTGCAACAGACAACACAAAAATTTCCTAGTTATCTTTTTACATTTAGATCTTTTATTGCAATTTTTGCCTAACATAGGCATTTTCTTCTATCACATTCCTTTCCCCCAGTGTAGCTAGTGAATAGCTGATTGAGGCCGCCGAATAGCAACAACGAGGAACAGTTTTTATTTGGGGGGCCGAGAGGCAGGTCTACTATACCTGTGACATCCTAACCGACTTTGGCAAGTGTTGAGTCATGGTGTTCACCAATGTGCAAAGGCATTGCCAGGACGAAGCATACAGTACAGTTTATCATTTGGATCGAATTTGTAGAGATTCTCGTTAGAATCCTGTACTGGGCACTTGGACATGGATACATGGAAATGAAAGCTCTCTTTGAATTCAGACTCAACAACTGTTTGTATGTATCTGTACCATTTCCTTGCCTTTTGGAATATGAATCAACTAGCCGGAGCCTTTACCAGCTTGATGATGATGCCGTTTGGCTTTGCTCCGCTGCTCTTGTACTCGGCCGTGTTGTAGAGAGGATTACTCGTGTTTGCCGTGACGCCCATTTGGCCGCCATTCTTACCGCATCCAAGAAGCTCATTCTTGCCCTTGTCCGGTGCATTTTTGCCGCCGTCGATAGCGGTGGCGAGATCCTCGTAAAGAATGGACGAGAGCTCGCGGTTGTTGATGTGCTTGGCGAGCGCGAGCACGGTGCCGGCGTTGGGCACGGGCAGCGACCACTCTGCACAGTCAATGGCCTTTGGCATGGTCCAGAACTTGTCCTTGCCCGAGTTCTGGTCGTTTAGGTAGCGGAGATACTGGGCGACGTACTGGACGTCTTCTGGGTCAAGGTCCTGGGACTGACCGCCGCTGACACCATAGCAGATCTTTTGCGCTCCTTCACCGCAGGCTGCCCGAGGGAAGATTGCGCTGGCAGAGGCGAGCGAGACGACGGCAAAGCCGGCAATTGTGTGGAAAAGCATCTTTAAGTTCTTATTGTTTGGGAAAAAATGAAAATGTGCTGATTGAAAACTGGCGAATACATCACTTCCGATGCAGTATTTATGTGTATTCACCAGCACAAAAGTTCACGAGCCCGCACGGCGTCATACCAAACCGGAACTCTCCGACCAAGTATTGATATGTAGCTGAATCAATAGCTTGAATAGACAGTAGTTGCCTTGACTGCGCTCGTTGTGGAGGCTTGTTTGTTCACAAGTTGGTACATGACGCAGCCGGACGGATGCCCAATGCGGCCGGAAGCAATGGCTCACAGCGTTGCACCATAGCATTGGTCTAGGCTCGGTAACTTTGAGTGATTTTATGAGTGTTGTTTCTCGAGAAACTATTGCCTTGTTCGTTGAGTCGCGAAGTCCTGCATAGCTAGCGACCTGCAGGCTATGCTACCGCGAGTGGTGAAGGATGCGAGTGCGCCAAGGTTTTTAATCCCTGGCCGAGCTTCCGGCTTGGCACAGACATCCCTGACTTTATTTGTAGAAAAGGATTGTTCGGCAGACAGCTTGTTATCGGCCGAGTGCTCAATGAGACTCGGTCTGCCTTATGTGTGTGGAGAGCGGAAATGCACGTAAGCATGTACGCCTTCGTTGGGGTAATGGCCGCAATTTCGACGCTTGCCGAGTTATTAAAATGCAGGCCGAAAGAAAAGTGGTTGCAATAAAAGATGTGCAAGTATGGCCAGAGAACCGCATGTATCTCCACACCGTCTTTGCTACTTTTCGCCCTGTAGATTGTTCATGCCTACGCGCAGCTGAATAGAGAAAGCTTATGCTCGCCCTCGTTTTCTTACCAGGAAGAACGGGTCGCGACACGCTCAGGTGCACGGCCGTCGGATAACATCAAGGTGATACACGTGAGCAATACAATCTAGCCGGCGACAGGCTGCCTGTTAACTATGCGATGTAATGCAGCTAGCTACTCGCCGCCGCGGCGACCCTAGCGGTCAATAAAATGCGGACTGCGCAGTGGCGTAACTAGGTGGGAATCTCTCTCAGAAAAGTACTCGAATTAGAGTGGCCTAGGCGGCTACATAAGGTAGGTACCAAGTGAGTGACAAAGGAGATGCTACGGAAATAAATAGAAGTAACGACTTGCTCATACTCTCTTTACAATCCTTATTAGTTTCTTATTTTCATTACTTTTTTATTCTCTTGGATTTCTCTATTTATTTTCTCTTTTCTATCTTCTTTTCTTAATTTTTTTTTCCTTTTTCTTTCTTGCTATAGTAGCTCATAAACTATTTCATCCTTTATTGCTACCCCACAGAGTTCCAGTAGATTATTACTTGTCCCATTTACTCCGTACGAGAGTACGACATGATCCTTCCGAAAGAGCGGGGTGATCGCTGCCAATAAAGCACACCCTAACTACCTACTGATGTATTGAACAGTCTGGACGCGGCAGAGCAGATTTAGGTCACTCCGAGTACACTGAAATACAAAGAGGCAGTGTTGGGTATTTTGAATGCTGTCTTGGTAAAACATTAGCGCTCAAGTCCTTGGTTCGCAGAAGGAAACAGAACTTGGGCATTGCTTGGTATCTTCATAGAATCCACTTTGTGTTATCCTGAATTATTCATCGGTTGGCCTGTTTCATTATTTTTGTGACATGCAGAATAACTTGCTTACGTCAACAGGCGAGGCTGCGCATCTCCCCTCTCGCATCCACCCAAGCTCAGCTCTTATATTATAAAAAGTCCTCCACCAACGGCCCATCAGTCGAGGCAACGCACCAAATTTCTACTTGTCATCCTCTAACCATGACTCTTCTGTGGTACGCTGCCACTACTCTCTCTGCCCTTGCTGTCATCCACCGTCTGTTGCAGTTCCACGCTGTCCACTCTTTCTTCGTCTCCTGCGCCTCACGAACAGACACGCGCCACCAAACCACATTCAAGAGTTTGGAGCGCCATCTCATTCCAGATAAGACAGTTCCTGCCTCTGAAGCACCAGGATCCATCATCTTTGAGTTTGAAAAAGATGGCGATGGCCTCGTCGTTCAAGTCCCCGTCAGAAGCTGGTGGCGCACGGTGACAGCTCGCCACCGTACGCAGGCCATGTGCAGAGAAGTCGACTTAATCAGCGGCGATTGGGCTATCCGTGGATTCTATGCAAGCACACCTGTGAGGGGTCCACCAGAAAAGCCAAATCTCTGGTACGACATTCAAGTCATGTATGGCCCAGCAGCGAGACTCTGTCAACTCCGCCGTTCAGGCTCAGAGAGAGCATGGCAGCTGGACCACATGATTCTAAGTGTAGTTCAAGATGCGGCAGTGTATTTCAAATTATGTTCTACACCGGTCTGGCTCCGTCTTGTTTACGCTGCCGCCAATGTCATTTCTCCACTTGCTGCCGACGCGCTCACCCATCGCCTTCTGTGGATTCAGATCCGCACCATGTTCTTTTGCCACGATACGTGGGAGTATCGTGGACGATGTAGCATCTTCCGGATCATCTGGCCATTCTTCAATGAGCCAGAATGGGTACGCAGGTTTGAATTGTGGAGCGAAGAGTACATGTCGACGCAGTTTCTGCGTTTCAATTATTGGCTTGGTTATGTATTTCTGGGAATGAAACCCGAGTATCCTGGATACAAGATGAATACATCTAGAAAATGAATCATCTTTTTAATGCAAAATAAATAATGCTCTTCAAAGTTCCACATAGCTTTGGGCAAGTGGCTAGGATGTTGGTCTGACGCTGTGTGCAAGGGTTTCCTGCATTAGCTGCTTATGTCTCATGCAGGGTAATATTAATATTGTAGTCTCATTTGAAGTGACGAGTAAATAGCGCAGAATGTATCTCATCATGCGGGGAAGGCAGTAGGAGAAGGCGAGCCGGGAGTTGCTATATAACCGCTTCAGCTCAGCACTTGGACTCTCTAATGAAAAAAAATCTTGATTTGTCAAAGAGGTTTCCTTGAAATACAAGATGTTGCTTTCACGACAGCTTCTTTTCTCTTTTACGATTGCTTCGCTTGGCTTTCAAAGCCTAGCGAAGCCTGCCACGGAGCCTCTTTCTATGCTCGATGTTGACTTTTACAAGCCAACTGAAGAGGACATGGCTCAGGTTCACGCAAAATTCATCTCTTCTTTACACAAAACAGAGACCACTGTATTTTCATCTCCCGCACTCCCCAAAACTATTTCGCTGGCAAACGCCAGCTCTAGCGATCTCGTGAAAGCAAGAAACCTTGTCAACGAAGCAATCGAGCAGCAAGGGGAGTATAATCTTTGGCGGGTTTCTCATCCTCGCCGAGGCGACAAGGATCCCATTGCAGCCCAAAATCGAAGAGACACTGCAAAACCACCCTCCCCGCCACAGCTGACGCATGAGCTTCTCGGAGCTTTGAAGCTCACCAACAATGTGGACACACAGGACCTGTATAATAACGGTACTCTGCAGCGGTACCAAGATGATGCCAAAATTCGGGTTCAAGATCTACGCCCTGCAGTGGGAAGCTTAGCAGAATCGGCCCCCATGAGAAGGGCAGATGGCTGGGATGGCAATGATTGGATGGCGGATCAAGATCACAGCCTCTCTCAACAGCCTTTTCATTCCGAGAAGGGCTACAAGGTATCTATGCGATATGACCCCTAAATTCGAATTCTGTACTGACTATGACTTGGGTCTGGCGCAATGTCAAAGACTATGGCGCCGTTGGCGATGGAGTCACTGACGATACAGACGCCATCCAAAAGGCGATATCCGATGGTAATCGCTGTGGCAAGGGCTGTCCTGAGTCATCCGTGAGCGGAGCTATAGTTTATTTCCCCAGTGGTGAGTTTTTCAAGCGCATGATTCGATGCAGAAAATTAGTGTTAACATTTACGAGGTGTTTATCGCGTGGACCGTTCAATTGTGTTGTATTACAACACGCAACTAGTCGGTGCCGTGAAAGGTAGGGTTGCTACAATCCAATCGGCCAGAAACTTCATTGGGCTTGGTGTCTTCACGACAGATGTCTACCTTCCCGATGGTCATTCTGAATGGTATCTCAACACCGTAAGTTCAAACCCGCATGTATTTTTGTCATGGGAAGCTTTCTTTAACGTTGCGTCCCCTCAGAGCAATTTTTACCGCAGTATTCGGGGCTTGCAAATCGATATCCGGTTGACCCGGCAGAAGGGCATGGTAGGTATTCATTGGCAGGTGGCGCAAGCGACCACGATCGAAGAAACCGGTATACTCATGTCGAATGCTTCCTCGACTACGCAAATTGGCATTTGTATGTACCAAAAAAACTTGGTGGGCTTTCAGTAAACTGCGAATGCTAATCGGCTTTTAGTTGCGGAAAATGGTAGCGGAGGCTGGATGGGAGACATTACGATTAGTGACGGCGAATATGGCATCCTGGCTGGAAGTCAGCAGTATTCGGCGTCCCGAATCAGTATCATCGGCTCTCAAAAATGCATCGGCCTAATATGGAACTGGGTTTGGGTGAGTATATTTTGTATTGTAGCTACCAGTTTTCTCCTAGATTCTGTGCTGACCACTGAACGAACAGTCGTGGTCACATCTCCGCCTAGAAGATTGCAAAATCGCCATTGACCTCACTGCGGCCGGTTCTGATTCGAAATCCCCCGTCGGTTCGCTCTCCGTTGTTGACTCGGCCATTATACACTGTGATACAGCCATCAAGACATATCCTTTTACCTTGACACAGTCAAAGGAACAAGGTTCGACGATTATTACACTAAGCCATTCCCAGATTTACAAGTCGACTTCATTCATAGGATTTCCGGACGGCGCTTCCATCTCAAAGAATGTTGATGACTGGAAAATTGACTACTGGCAATATGGAAACAAGTTTAAGCAAGGAGATGTTGCTCATGGAGAGTCAACGCCTGCCGAGGATCGGCCAGCAAGCCTCTTGGATAGCAACGGTAATTGGTTCAGTACTGGGTAAATTGTGTGTCCAAGTTTTTGGTTCCGGTTCAAGCTAACCTCAGTGCTAGTAAACCTACTTTTTATAATCGCAACAAGGACCAGGTCGTCAATGCAAGACTTCACGCTGCAGGTACATGCCAGATGGCAGTCGCTGTGCTTTATATTGCGCCCAACTAAAACTTGTGTTAGGCGACGGAAAGACGGACGACACAGTCGCTCTTCAGTCCTTGTTCCAATATGCCGCGGAGAACAACCTTTTGCTGTACATCCCAGGTACTTGTTGAGCACTACCTCTGGCCCTCGCCGAACTAACCAGGACTGTAGCCGGTGTTTATATCATCTCGAGCCCCCTACTTGTATTGTCATTGACTGTGATCCAGTGGCAATGGCCATCTCACTAACAGTCCGAGGTAGATTCCGTCCAACACACGCATCCGAGGCGAGGTCTGGTCTCAGCTTATGGCTGTCGGTGACAAATTTGCCGATGCTCAGCGCCCAAAGGCCATGATCACAGTCGGCCAAGGAGAAAAGAATGGCCTAGTGCAGCTGGAAAATCTCTTGTTTACATCTAGGGGCTCGCTGCCAGGCCTAGCCTTGCTGCAATGGAATCTCCAATCAACCAAGCAGGGCGATGTTGGCTTGTGGGGTAAGTGGTGCATCATGTTGAACAGATTTATGAATCCAAACCCGGCTGCTGACGTTTGCCTCTATACAGATTGTCATTTTCGAGTGGGCGGCGCGACTGGTACCGATTTACGCAAGGCGGATTGTCCCAAGCTCTCCGGCAGCGTAAATAGTAAATGTATCGCAGGCGCCATGATGCTTGTGAAAACGAACAAGGGTAGCGGGTATGTCTTTGTTGAGAAAACAACGTCATGTTGCCTAGGCTAATCTCAGTTTGTTTGAATAGATATTTTGAAAATATGTGGGCGTGGGTAGCGGGTAAGACGCAGCAGCGTATCACAATTCTGCGGGGGAGAAATGGCTAACAAAGATAGATCACGATCTCGACGATCCTGCGGGCGATGACTCGAACCAGATTAACGTTTACTTTGCCCGAGGTTGGTCTCATGTTTCTACTTTGCATTCCGCGTTTTGACTTTTGTCTCAGGGATCCTCATTTTTGGCGATGGGCCGACCTGGTGGCGCGGTACCGCATCCGAGCACAGCGTCATGTACCAGTACAATATTGTCAGCGCCTCCAACGTGTATATGAGTATTATCCAGACAGAATCGCCCTGTAAGTCAAGTGATTGTGGCCAGGTGTTCCATCTTATTCTGATGCTGTGTGTTTCGTTGCAGACTACCAAGGAACCTCTTTCTTGCAAGCACCAGCTCCATTCAAACCGGGCAATTGGATCGGAGAGCCTTCTTTTGATCAATGCGGCAGTGCCACGACCAATTGCAATGTCGCTTGGGCTCTCATTGTTCAGCATTCCAACGGCATCTACATTGATGGCACTGGTCTGTACTCGTGGTTTCAGAACTACAACCAGGACTGTGTTGGAAACAAGACTTGCCAACAACGCCTTGTGAATATTTACAACTCTGCCAATGTCTTTATTTCGCATCTCATCACTATTGGCTCTGTCGAGGTGGTGACGCCGGCCTTTAGCAACGACTATAACCGCATCATCTATGTCGACGACACGCTCGAAGCTACTGTGTACCCCTGGTGGACTGCCATTGCTAGCTACCTTGACAGTAGCGCCAAGATCAATATTACGGGTCACGATTATCCCATCAAAAAGGGGTGGGTGGCGTTTGGCGATTCCTATGCTGCAGGTATTGGCGCTGGCACGCCACTAGACACTGATGCAAACTGCTATCGCGGAAGAGGAAGCTACACGGCCATTTTGGACAACATCATTCAGACATCACATCAGGCGTCCATCGTGTGGCAGTCGCGCTCGTGTAGTGGAGAGACTGCTGAGCAATTCATCAAAGGAGAGGGTGCTAAGCAACTTGAGCAGTGGCAGCCCAGTTTCTCGGACATTGCCACAGTCTCGTTTACCGGCAATGATTTTGGATTCGGAGACATTGTCAGCCACTGTCTCATGGGGTACCCTAGAGGATCGCAAAATCAACAATGCGAGGAGGACCTTGCGGCCACCCGCAGGAAGCTGGACACTGAACACAAGGTGCAAGACCTTGTCTACAACGTCCTCGATGAAATCTACAAGAAGAAGAGCGGTCACGGTCGGCTCATGGTCTACTGGACCGGCTATCCACAGTTTTTTGACGCCACTGACAAAACATGCGACAGCGCGTACTTTTCCAATTACCTCATCTGGGCTGGCCGATACCTGGACGCAAAGCTGCGTCTCAAGCTCAACGAGTTCTCTGTAGAGCTGAATCAGCAGGTGAAATTCGCCATTCGACGTTACAATCAATTCGAGCCCTCTCCAAAGGCCAAATTCATCGACATTGACGCCGATAGCGGCATTTACACGGGGCACCGCTTCTGTGAGCCCGGCGTAAAAGAGACGCTCAATACAGAGCAAGGTCAGAATACGGTCGCCTTTTTCTACCCCGATGGCTGGGACGACATTCCCAGTGCGGATGAGCACTTTTATATGCCGCCCAAGAAGGAAAGCCAGGCGCCAGACAAGTGGTCCGTTTCCGTGCAGAGCTCGACCTGCAACGACACGCAAGACAACAACGAGCCCCTCAGGCCATTGCTCTGCTCCGCGGCAAAGGCAGTTGCCAATGGCACCCTGACCACCAGCGACATTGATCATGCGGCAGGTGAGGGCGGCAGCTCGGCAGTCAAGAACTCGGACGGATCCGTGACCATTACTGACTTCTCCGTCGCCTACTTGAAGATGTTTCATCCCAAGACGCGCGCTAATTGGCGCATTGCGCAGGCTGTCCACGACGTTATGATTCTTCACCTTAATTGACGGCGGGGGGCTGCACCTATGTACACAAGGCTCAATTTATTGCACAAAGGAAAAAAAATAAGTTGCGTTTTGTCTTGTGCTCCAATCTCTCGTAATCCGTGTGCTGCTGTTGTCCCCTGAAAGAAGTCCTCACAAAAAAGCCGGGACGCGGGTTATTTATTGGGCAATTCGATAAAGAAAAGTCTTGGTAGCAAGGCAAAGTATACAGAGCCAGGGCAAGCGGGCATAGGCGAAGCCAGTCGTCCTTTTTGATGGAGATGCTCCCACCCTTTGCATTCCATACTTCCATTCCCTTCTATTCCCCCGCAACTTCGCTCCCGCTCTTGTGGCTCGACGCCCAATCAAGTCATCGAGGCGCCCCCGAAAATGTCCCAGCCAGGAAGGCAGTAATTTTGGCTCGCTCCTGTTAGTAGCGGGCGGAGGGTGCAGAGGCACAGGCGGTACCGCGGCTTGCCGCGGCTTGACAGCTATTAACCAGGTACCACTTGTGAAAAGCGGAGTACTGCCTACCTTACAAGGCTGCCACGCTGCATACAGCATCCCACAAAAAGCTAGAATATAAGTTTCCATTTTCTTCTAAAGAATAAATACTTTTAAATAAATAGAAAAGATCTATACTAGTAGATCTTCAATATTATAAACGCTACTACTAGATATCATATAGGACTTTTAGTCCATGGTTGCGACCATGTACGGTTGAGAAAGTGGGTGCGGGCACATGTACCCAACCAAAGTGAGACGCAACGTCGCCAGCCAAACATGGACGTCATGACACAGAGTCATCCCTCTCCTGTAAGTAACAATGCTTGACAATAAACACGAGTCCTGGACGAGAGCTGGATATGATGCATACGACTGCGGCTCTACAACTTAGTGAGGATGCTGCGCGTTGCGACGCTCCAGTGCCTGCGTCAGTCAGCGACGTTGCCCGCCTCGACGATAGACAGCTGTGCGACTGGATGGCGAATCATCGCCAGCTGGATGGCAGTGTCGAGCTTCAGTTGGATGGTTGGGACAAATTGCCAACAGAGGCGAGAAGCCAGCTGGCTAGGCGGTTGACGTAAGTGCGCTCCCGCGCCGTATCCCCGAACCCAATTTCATCTCCGTCTTGCTCACCCCTGTAGAGCCACCCATGCAACAATAGCCACTCCTCCAAGGCAAGATCTCGGCTTTGAACTCGACCTCGACTACCTTAATCGTCGCGTCTGCCAGTTGTCGGACAGCCGTGATGCTCTGTTGCCAACGGTCCTCGAGCGAGCGACAAGAGAACAGACAGCAGACACGAATAGCCAGACGCAAGCTGGCGAGGACGATTCGGCGATTGCAGAGACGGACGCCTATCATCGACTTGTCGACGACGGAGGCAGACCGCTTTACTCGATCGATTCCCTAGGGCGGGTCCTACAGAATCCGGACGAGTACCAAGAGATGCTTCGGCCCTTTTGGAGTCATCCTCGCAATACCCATAGCGCCGACCACGTCTTTCAAAAACAGCGAGATCGATGGAGAGACTTTCGTAGCTGGCAGCTGGATAATAGAGGTCTTAGTGATCCCGCCGACGCCTTCGATGCCCATGTACGCGAGTACCGGGACATGTTGAAGAAATACGGCTTTCTACAAGAATTGGCCAAGTTGGACTCGGATCCATCGTACCTCAAACGGCCCAGAAGTCCTTGGGCGTACCACGAAAAAAGGCGCCACTGGCAGCGCCGCCACCAGATTGAGCCTGGCTGCAGTGGGTTTGATGACTACAAGACGGCTTTCGGGGCTCGTCTATCGCGGCATGGACATCTCTTGTCCGACCTGCAGCTCAAGGAGAACCCTAGGCAACAAGACGCGTTGACAACATGGGCAGAGTACCTCTGCTTCGAGTACTGGTGGCATGATTACTACCTCGCGCGCCTGAGGCATCTGAAGCCGGAATATGACAGGGCATGCGCCAGGCTACACGATCGGGGCATACTACAGCCCGGCCAAGACGGAGACCTTGTCGAAACGGATGCGTACCGCCTGCGCCTGTGCGGAGAGTTGAAAAGCACCTCGGCGGCCCTCACAGCGGCCAGGTCCGAAGTCGAAAGGGCTTGCCAGCCGCGTGGCACGGCGACGAGTGCGCCACATCAAATTTGGACGGCTGCGAAAGAGCGACTTGAAGATGCCGAATCGGCCAGGAAGCGTGCGGTCCAGCGCGAAACAACTATTGACGAATTTCTTCGACAGACTCGTGCCTATAGAAAATCGCAGGGCGATGTTGCAAAACAACCGATTCTCATTGAATGGGTACAGAATCAGCTGCTTCTGATCCAGACGGAGATGATTTCGGCAACTCGGCAACCGCCACGGCGCAGCAAAAGAAAGCGTCGCCTCGCCGACGACGACCTAGAAAGCCAAACGGCCAACAAATATGCGGCTTTGGAAGCAGCGCCTGCTGAGCCGCCGCATACCAGCACCACGCCAGCTGTGGTGCCACAGCGACGAATTCTGCGAGCGCGGAACACCAAGCAACTGGCCAATGACGAGCCTCTAGATACAGCCAACGACGCGCAGCGACTGCGACGCGTCCTGGCCGGTCCAGCGCAGGGCCTGCGTCGCAGCGCAAGGATTCAAGCACGCAAAATTTCCTCAGATGCTGACGATGCCACTACACCATCCAGAAATAGCGTGCATCCCGGCCGCATGCAACGGTGACGGCCATCCTCGAAACTGAATGGCGGCACACTCAAGGTGGCATGCTCAATGTCCACTGGCAACGCGGCTACGGCGATCTGTCGTACCCCCCCATCGTTCTACAATAGTTCTGATCTTCACTCAGCACTACACTTCATTATTAGCATTTTCTGCTTTCCGCTTCTCAGTACATTCTTCACGCATAACGCGGCATATCTCTTCTTTTAAGCAGTGGAGCCGCGCCGGAGGCTTGCCGCGACTGTATCATACCTCCTTTGTAGGTCATGGTCCGTGTTATCTTATAGATCTCCTGACCTACTTGCTCCTTTTCCACTACCAAAGGGATAGGGAGAGGCTGACGCCCATCTCCATGTCTTTACTAGGACGGCAGGATCACAAGCTGTGGTTAACAACAAAGGAGATGATGGGTACTAGCGGAGGTGGGCCCTGAGTCGGGACGGGCGTGGCTCGCAGGATGGTAGTCAAACTTCCTGAGATGTGATTTGGCTTGCGGTAATGTCTAAGTAGACTTACTCCAATGCTAGCTTCTGCATGTAGGTCTCTTATAATGAGATACAACCAGGCTACAGACATAAGAGAGAGAGAGAAAGAATTCTTAATTAATTATCTATAACTATAGGCTACTAGTAAGTATATATATACTTCTAGTTATAGTTACAGGGGATCGTTCTTCCGGTCTGGTACGGTCAACATCTTGACCTATAAACGCAACCAGTAGGCAGATCAAGGGTTAACGACGTGACGCGCTATGGTCTATATTATAGGGGTACTTAAGTTTACGATTATATTAGCGGTATTCTATTTGTACCTTTCTAGTAGTCTACCTTATGTTTAGAGTAGTACTGGTTACTATTAAGCCGACTATTTAGATGTGAGGTTAGGTGCTTAAGGGACTTTAGTTATAAGATGATCCTTAGCTTATCTGATGATGATGGAATTATCGCTGCCTCCTCCCTACTAGTTCATCGGCCGCTTAGCCCTATATGTCTACTTCTTTACTCGTAACCCTCCTATGTCCTGGCTTATACCCTTTCCCTAACATTAGAAAAAGTCAGATAAAAACGAGATTATATTAAGTATATTAAACGTAAATAAAATTTTAAACTATATTTATCTATCTAGTAAAATTTTTACGCTGATTTATTCAATGTGATTTGATTTAAGAGTAGTGCTGCTAAATATAGTAATATAATATTGACCTTTAGATTATATAATAATGTTATGAGGGGGTCTGTATTGCTAACGTTATTTCGTATATATTATTAGCAACACTGTTGATTTCTTCTTAAAGCACAAAACCAAATCGCGCTGAACGAACAGCGGGTGGAAGACTTAGGAACTCCGATCTAGTCAAATTTCCTAATTTGTTAGAGTCATACCAGATCCATTTGGTACTCTGCCATGCAGCGTCGGCCCTCGTTTGATTTAGCCCATCCTCTTTTAGATAAACTGCATCAGAGAAGAGGGCGTAGCTATCAGCATTTTGGAGGCTCTCATCCTTAACAAGGTCCGTCGAGTGAAGTAGGCCGTATCCGAGATCCTTGGTAGCCTTGACAAAATCTAAATGAGTCATCTCGTGAATAATAGTATGAGTGACCGAGGATACTTCGTTAAAATCTGGAAGCATAGGTTGATAATAGCCTCTCTTGCAAAATGCCACATGACCTGGGTCTGAATGGCGCAATACACCGGCAAATTCTTTCCCGCATACCCAATGATTGCAAGTGTAATAAACTCGTGAATTTTCAAAGTTGCACATGGCAGCAACTTTAGCAAAGACATCGGCGACAGAGTTCCTGGTATCCTGGCTCGAGTCCTTGAAATAGGCCTCCATTCGCTCAGCTGACCCGTTCAAGGCAGCTTCCCGCGCCGCTGTGGCTAGAGAAGCACAGTTGGTAATGCCTTCCTTGAGCACGCTCAGATAATCAGGGGAGCATTTATGGACCCTCTCCTCAAAGACTTTCGGCAGTGGGGGGAAAAACTTATGATAGACCGCGGCGAAGCGCAGCTCGTATGGAATTTCGTGGACTAGCGTTGTATTCCCAACCTCGGCAGCATGAATAGTAGCTTTGATAGAGAGAACAGCGGTACCATTACCGCAAAACTTGTATGCATCACGAACATCAAGCAAGTCGATGGTTGTAGTAATTTTTCCGTATGCTGGCATGAGCTGAAATTCGGACTCATCTCTTGGGTTGGTATGTGGCGGGGTCTCGCTGTCGGCAAATCCCACAGCGCAGTCTATAGAACGAGTAAGGGTTAGTCACCTGTTGTTACTAAACCGAAGAGATACACACATCCGTTTCCCCCGTCAAGGCGCATTGATTCCAGGCGGTTATCATCAAGAATGCTACCGGCTTTGAGGATATTAAAAGCCTTTAGGCTTTTGTTCTTAAGGGTTATGTTCATCTTTGTCTATGTAATTAACTCGTCTTGAACATTAAGGCTGGCGGGCCACTCTTCCGGCATAGCAGGAATAGTAGCGGCGAGTGCCAGCGGAGAAAATACTGCTAGTAGCTTCATTCTGAATGGCAAAATTAGCACAGACGAGGCTGTGAATGGGGAAATATCGAGAAGAAGAAGCTTAAGGTGAGCTAATCGCCAGCGTTCAAAATGACTTGGCCCTTTACATCAACCGGGGCAAGTATAGACGTCTTTATATGTATTTGAAGGATAGTCGCCGAAGAAAAGTTTCTAATATGATTCAGGCCATCGCGATATAAGCTGGTCTCATTCTAAAGTGATCCATTTAACTTATGAGCGTGTCCAAGACGGTCGATGGAGACGGGTAAGCGTTTACGCTTAATGCAGGCCATCTAGCATGCATGTCAATATACAGCTCACTTTGAAGTTATAGCGCAATAAAGTGTTAAGTTATGACAAGCCCGTACCTTAAGAGTCTATTAATCAAACATATATGCTGGTAAAGCCGTTCAAAGTCGGATTTAGGGAGCGGGCGCTAGTAGCGTAATAAGAGACAAGCAAGTCGGTGTGGTTTAGCAGGCTAACGTTTTATTGCAAGGTAGATATGTGGTGTGGTATATAAGTACCTCCTTATAGACTAAAAGCTATGCCTGTCAAGAGTATTACTATTTGCACGGATAAACATCTCTAATGGCAAGGGGTTGTCTCACTATTTCGGGTTGTCTTACTAGTTACCGGCTAACTTAGTTCAAGCCTATTCCCGTGCGACCAGCCTGTCAAGTCCAGTCGAACGAGGAAAGCGTTACGGCGAATAATGTCTACCTAGAGCGGCAAGAAGATTCTTGAAAAAGAACTAATACACTACCTAGGGGTACTTAATGCCTGCTTCCCCTGTCTTTTTATACAAGCTATAGTAGCCTAAAGCTTTAAAATAAATATTTTTATAATACTTAAGTAGAAATTACCTAGTAAGGCTTAGGGTTAAGGAATGAATATATTTGCAACTTGGCTAGCATAAAACTTAGCGATGGCGATGCGTAGCGTATACATAGCAGTAACGTAGGGCTTAGCAGTGATAAAGTGTACATTAGCACATTTCTATGTTAGGACAAAGGCGATTTACCCACTGTCGGCGATGCCGCTAACCCGTTCTTATTATAGAGACTGCGGTCTCAGTTCTGTTCTTAATTGGTACGTGTTTCTTAATGCTCCTATTAATCCAAGATATTTATAGCCACAGGCGAAGCAACCCCTAGTTTAGAAACCAAAACTAGAATTTTCCCAGTCAACTCTAATATCAACGTAGCAAGTAAATCATGAAATCCTCTATAAAGCGTTAAAACAAGGTTAACACTCGATTTTAGCACCGTAAATTATGTTGTCTTTTTCTTTTATTAGGAATGGTTTAGAGTTATTATCGAGGCTCAGATGTGGAGATCCTGGGCACGGCCCCTCAGACGTTGGTTGGCTCGTGCCACAACGCAGCTATTTGTTCCGATACTCGTCGGATGTATTATCGTAGGCTTGAAACAAAGCTCGGGAACCAGATTCAGGAGCACTGCAAAATGAAGCAGAAATGAGTGCTCTCTTATATTCAAGCACGGATAATAGCTTATTAGCGTGAGTGCCTTTCATCATCGCCATGTTGGACTATTCGTTAGGCGACCACTAGTATAATAGCGTGTTGATCAGCACATTAGTCGTGATGGGCGTCCGGGAGGATGGCGGGTGGCAGAACGCATTAGATTACACGGCGATATTATCTAAAAGAGTAAGAGGAGAGACATGAGCAAGGCGGCTGCTAGAGGCGAAACGCAAATCGCCGGGGTATAGTAAATGCCCGTCACCTGAGTCATCACGTTATCAGAGGTCGTGGGCTGTTTCTTGTATACAGTCATTCAGGCAGATGATTTTCAATAATCTAATATTCTATAAGGGGCTCTTAAGGTAAACCGTATAAGCAATAAACGGAGCTGCATGACGAAACGGTGCCTATTTCTCCTGTTTCTTGTTGTTGTTGTTGACTAGCTTGTTTGGAGATCCGCGCAAGTCGCCCTTTATCTTATCCTTGGTGCAAGTCGAATCAAGCAGACTCACAATGTCGTGACGACGCTTAGGAGAGCCTGACATGAAGGTAAGGGCAACACCGGCAACATGAGGTGCCGCCATTGACGTGCCAGTCATCAACTGAGACTTCTTATCGTCTGCGTTGGAAAGTGAAAGAATATCTGTTCCTGGCCCGAATATATCCACTGTGGACCCGTAATTAGAAGTACTGTATGCGGTCCAATCTTGATCCATGTTTCCAACGGTGATGGCCCTAGCATTCGGGGCGAGGCAATGGTCTTTAGCGTCCTTGCCATTGTTGCCGGCAGCTTGCACAACGGTGATCCCGTTAGCCACAGCCCGAGTAATGGCTTGCGAAATTGATTTCTGTTGGCAGGAGCCACCCAGAGAAAGGTTGATGACGGCCTTGCCGACACGGCCCTTGTCAAGGATATCCTTAACAGACCTATGGATAGCTGACAGTAGATTTGATGACGTCATTGTTCCGGAGCGGTCTGGCACCTTGACAGCTATAATACGGGCTTTCTTGGCCACTCCGTAGGTTTTCGAGGCAATGATTCCGGCAACGTGTGTGCCGTGGCCTGACGTATCGTCGTAGTTGGGCTCGTTGCCTGGGTACGAATAATCCGCCGTCCAGAGGTTCTCAGCACGCCCCTCAAGCTCCTTGTGGGTGATGCGAACGCCGCCATCAATGACATACCCAAAAGTGCCCTCTCCCGCCATTTTATCATAAAAGTACTCGAATCGGCGAAGGCTGGTCTGCCGTGGGCGCGCGTGCGGTTTGCGATGCGAGATGGCACGAAGGCCCCAAGGTGCTCCAGTCTGGGTAAGTTCTTGCGCAAGTATACCGAAAGGTAGCGCTAACAAGGCAAAGGTACTGGTGAATTTCATCGCGGCAGGGTAGTTGCTGTAGAAAGAGTATTTCAGAGATAATGACTGTAAGTAAGAACCTGACGCTTGACAACTGGTGTGGTATGAAGACGTTTTATCCTGTTTCTTATATATGGTGAAAACACTAAAGGCAAGCCGATATAGTTATTATGAAGTATAGAATGACGGCAATTGAGCCCGCCAAGTAATTAGCTCAGCTTGGTCATGTCTGGCCATACGAACCACAAATGTCTCTGCCAAGTATATACCTGGTTCTCAGCTAAGAGGCAGTGTACTCGGTAGATGGCAAAGCCGTCAAGTGGAAGCGACTTAGAGCAGATGCCAGGATTATGAAGCCTTCGGTAAGACGTATCGTATAGCATCATCTGATCCCACGTAAAATTCAGCTTATTATCATTTCGCTTAGCTACGCACATACGCGAGTCACAAACATCTCTACCAAGTATATACCTGGTTCTTCGCTAAGAGGCAGTGTACTCGGTAGAAGGCAAAGCCGTCAAGTGGAAGCGACTTAGAATAGATGCCAGGATTATGAAGCCTTCGGTAAGACGTATCGTATAGCATCATCTGATCCTAGGTAAAATTTAGCTCATTATCATTTCGCTTAGCTATGCATATACGCGAGCCACGACTTTAGTATTAAGTCTATTCTGTTGATATTTTAAACTAAGAAATAACTTACTCGCTACATGGCCTCATTAGATAGAGTCAACTATAAGAGCGGCATGTATTCTAATATATCAACCTTTCTCTATTATTCCTCTTACCGGGTTATATCTTGTTAAAAGCCCCTTGAGTAGCGCCGAGAATCCAAGACGTTAAGCCGGTGCATGACTCTGAGTTAAGCAGATTAAAAATCTTCGGCTGGTGAAACTGTAAATGATGTAGCTTAGAGATTTCATGGGACGATTCTAATATCACCGTTTAACATATCAATAACCTAGACAAGATGCTATTGGCTGCCCGAGGTTCGTAAAGTTTCCACTGATGAAGCATACCTGCACAATAGCACTGTAAATAATCTCGAGTTTGGAAAACTTGCCGGGCGTGATTCTAGTTATGCCTATCTCCCTGGTTAGGACTTAGCTTCAGAGTACTATCTATTCGCCTGCTTGTAAACAGACCCAACAGTACACGCACTTCTATACGCGTGATAGTCAGAGACAGCTTTAAAAGCGGACTATGAAAGTTGGGTATAAGTAACTATCACCCACCTCAACTATTCTCATGTCATCAACAAGCACGATTCTTCTTTTTCGAAGCACAGTCCTTTATCTTGAAACCTTACTTTATTTTTTCTTCAACAACTCGCAGAGAGCAACGATGAGGCTACTTCTCTCTCACGTCGCTCTTGCCGTTATCATGGCGCAAATGGGTTCCGCACTGCCGCAAGCAAGTACAAACGGCGAGGCAGTCGGGTAAGTAGCCCCGGAAACAGAAATTATACGCTGGAATTATAGGCGAGAATCTAATGCCTCTGATGCGACAGTCACATTGTCATTCTGAAAGAAGGTCTAGACAAAGGCCACCTTGACGAGCATCTTAAAGCTGTTAAAGGTGTCCAGAAGCGAAGTGATCGTGATGACACTAGCGAGACTGGCGTTAAGCATATCATCGACGGTATCATCTACGGATTCCAAGGCTACACCGGAGTATTCACGCCCGAGGAACTTAAGTTTATCAAAGATCATGAGCATGTACGTTGGCGGAATGGTATTGTTCTTAGAGAACGGGCTAACCCTAGACAAGGTCGACTATGTCGAAGAAGATATAATCTTATCTGAACCACTTGTTGAGACTCGAGAGGTTTCTGACAGAGAGCTCGCCGTTGAGGACGAAATCGCCGACACGGACGCCAAAAATGTCCCGGCGGGGTCTGCTGGAGGCCCCAACAGGCAAAAGTCGACCATCGGAGGAGGTACCTTGAGCTGGGGACAAGGGTAAGACGCCGTTTTAATATCCCACTTAGTCGGCGGTGCTAACTTTATATACTAGATATAGCACGCTTCTCGGCAAGGGTCTGCGTGTCGATGTCGTGGTTCCCCTGACTGATAACGTCAAAAGAGATAACCCCACCATGCTTAACAAGACGAACCCGGCAACCGTCCTTAACGAGACGAACCCGGTAACCGCCTATAACTTTACGGCCCCTAGCGCTAACCTGACAGGGGTCGTCAATCTTCTCGAGTACTTTGCCGAACCGGACCCGGACACCATTTTTGACGACCTTCCCGACGTGGCTCCAGAGGAGGTTGCTGAAGAGAACGGGAAGCGTGCGGTTGTTAACATTCCCGGCTGCACAGGCAAGATCCACACTCATTTCAAGCTGACTGAGGACTATGAGTAAGCTTCATACACGAGCCATAAGTAGGTTTAAAATACCGTTACTCTAACCTTGAGGACCTGTTATAGCTCCTATATGCACGCGCTAGATGTAAGCGCGTCCTTGGCCATCTCTGGTTGGGGCCAGTCGGCAGCGATTTCGGGAAACTATCTTGATCAAGCAAAGGCAAGTGTATACAGCAATTCGCTTAACCCGAATTTTGGGTAGATGTCATTTCTAACATGTTGTCGATTAGATGAGCAACGATGCTTTAACCTTTGTTGCTACTATTGAAATTGAAAAGCAGCAAGACTATCAGAATGGACACTTTGATGCCGCGAGCTATACTCCAGATCAGTTCTATAAAACCCATGGAGACAGATGGATCAAAGGTAGAATTTTCTTTTACCTCAAGGGCTATCGCCGGTCCTTGCTTTGCTGGTGTTATATCGGGTTTTGCTAAAACGAACTAGGCTATAAACGAGGCGGCAAACTGATGGCTCGACTGATTTTCAGGGCCAAAGACAGCAGCAAGACAAAGGAGGTCAAAGCCCAGTACGTACTTTTTTGACACTTTGCTGTTCAAATGAAACTTTGCTGTTCAAATGAATGGGGCAACTTACGTTTGTTTATAGTGCGGAAGCTGCCCTGCGATTCTGGGGCGTCAGCGGCGATATCAGCGTTTCAGTCAAGGATAGCATGGAGCAAGTGGACAAGCATGCCGACGTCGATATCACCATGTTTCAGGAAGGCAATCTGGGAACATTCATGACCAACACCGACGGCGCCGTGTCTGAAAAGTCTAGCCTTGGCTCCGCGTCTGGATCGTTTAAGCAAGTCAAGGAGTGGGCCGATAAGTTTATGCAGCATGCTTGTGATCACAACTTTGCCTACCGGTACGTCTAATAGGAACTGAATAAGGCAGATGCATTCCGTGTGCGTAAAAAAACTGACCCTTAACAGACCTGTGTTGGAGGAATATAACACTCTCCCCGGTTTCCCGGCAAACCAGCGCGTTCACGACTATGGTACTGTACGCATAATGGTACGTTCAAGATGGGAGAAGAAAAAGGTGCCATAACTTGAAAACTGACTAGCTCGCTCATCTTAGTCTAATCGTATCTTGCGGGAATTGGTCAAATTGTCGGAGCTCGTCACCACTATCACTCGTCATCTTGAAGATTTAGGAGGCTGTAAGTTAAAAAATGGGATTTCTTCTCGTCTTTTAAGATATAAGATGTCTAATGATCCATCACAGATGATGAGAAAATATTTGATATGCATTTTGAGTTTTTAGATGATATTGTGACTGGGAGCAAGGAATGGGTACGTTCTATTTCACCTCGTTCTAGTTCTACCGCCACAATTTTGGCATCGAGTCATGTCCAAAAGATTCCTCCGACTGTATGCTAACTTTAGGTTTTCAGGTCGAGCAAGCTGCAGAAAATCCGAGGGACGCGAGATCGAGGGCAAAATCCTTGATGTCGAAATTTCGAAAGTTCAACTTGACTTGGAAAGACTATCTCAGCCCATATGCTGCTTTGCTTGATTGATGGTGCCTAGCCGTTGGCTTTATAGCACCCTTCTGTCCTAGATTCGTTAGGTAGTGGTGAAGAGGATATCTAGATAGCCTAATCAGAAATCTATCCATGCGTCTACTTTCTTTGATAAATAACCTGATTTTACATGCAATAGGTAAGTATAACTAGTTGATCATTTTTCGCGGATTCCACCCTTGGGCCTTGACGATAACGACTGTAATCCTGCCATGACCTGGTCCCGAGCATGTGAAACCCGTGTGGAAGCGACCAGTTCAGTACGTAAGTGGCCAATGACCAATACTGTATTTGCTAAGTGAAGATGGAAGATTCTATACCACCAATGCATCAGTCCGACCGATGAAATGTCTATTTGGCTGCACTTGTCCATCTGACTGATCATGGTCTGGGCGATCCCGACGCACATGAAAGCACAGTCTCTGGCAAAGTTGTCGCCGAGGCTGCTTTCTGATGTTGATTTTGGTTCCGGCTGAGTTTGGCAGTACTTTATCAGCATTACGAGCGCGAAAGTGCAGTTCGGCAACTGGCATATCAGAAGTGGACAGGGAGTCGTGAATAAAAAGGCCAAGACTCTGCGCCATGCGCACCGCGGATCCAACTGCCATCCACATCTGATGAGGCTTGTTGGTGCATTGCAAGCATCGACTCATGAGAAGCAAGGCATTGCACAAGCCAAACCGACCCCGACCCCGTCCCATGCGAGGGTATCGGCGCTGACGCCAGTCCACGCACGCTGGAAAATTATCTGTTACTCATGCATTCCCTTTCCTCTGCCGGCTCATCTTGTTGCAGCTGAGTGGTCAGCGCAAAGATTGTATTGAGAATGCTGATGATGACAGGCTCGTGCTCGTCCGCGGTATTATGCGTCGAGGTGTCTTCAAAAAGAGAGCGCGATAATAGTGAGTAAAGCGCTCGCTATCGAGAATCGGCTCGATGGGGTGGATGTGGTGCCAGTATATGTGCTCAGCAGGTAAGTCAAGGATAGCACAACTGTATCGATAGCTGTTGAGGAGCACAAATGGACTCGAGCTGTTATTACAACAGAAGGATGGAAGAGTGAACTTTGAGCTGCGGCCTAATTTCCAAGTTGATTGATGCCCGCTATTTCTCCCTACGATCCAACCCTTGAAATAATGTTGGCGTGGTACCTAGACCCGCTTCGTGCAGCCAATTAGCTGTGCAGGAACTAGAGGATCATGGAGTAAGATCGCTACGTGCAGGTACTTATCTTACAAGTAAACCGTGTATAAAAAAAGGTATCTCAGAGTCGCCTAGTACTACCCGTACCCCCCTTAGCCATAACAACAATACTTAAGATAGTAAGGTAAATTGCGCACTAAATTAATGATTCTATCGAGCCTCTAGAACCTGCGACCTATATGTCTAACCCGTGAGCTTTTTCACACGATAAGCCGCCGGCTACGGAAAATCAAAGACCCGCCGGTACGGAAGACCCGGCCCAGTGACGTCGATAGAGACGAAGTGGGGGCCAAGTCTCGCGCCAACATTATTTCCAGGGTTGGATCGTATTTGCCCGAGCTTTCGCGACGGCTTCCGATTGGTTGCGAGCAAAGTAAATCTGCTTTACTGTTTTGTTTCTTATCAATGATTCGTAGCAAGTATATATAATGGGTAGTCAGTCACTTGGTCAGACGCTCGCTGCCTTTTGTTCGTGTTTTGACTTCTGGGGCCGAATCTAAGAAGCTTCAACGCGGACAATGATGGCAGGCTCTGAGCTTTCGCAAGAAACTAGTAGGGTTGAGGCCTCTATTGCCGGCCCTATTGCCGGCCCCATTCTCGTCGAATTCCAGCCTGGCGACCCAGACAACCCACTCAACTTCTCGGCAGTAAAGAAGTGGCTCATTACGACTCTTGTCACCACGTCCGTCTTCGCAGTCACCCTCACGTCGGCTGCTTACTCGGCCTCCTCGGAGCAGATCCTCGGCGAGTTTCACTCCAGCAAAGAAATATTTGCCCTCGGCATCGCCCTCTTCGTCCTCGGATTTGCCGTCGGGCCGCCAGTCTGGGCACCAATTTCCGAGCTATACGGTCGCAGGATACTTTTTGTTGCCAGCCATGCGCTCGTTGTGGCTTTTGTGGCTGCGACGGCCGGATGCAACAACATGCCGTCTCTGCTGGTGTTCCGATTGCTGGCCGGCATATTCGGCGCGAGCCCGCTGACAAACTCTGGAAGCGTCATTGCGGATTTGTTCCCCCATTCCGAGCGCGGTCTGGCCATGGCCGTCTTTGCTGCAGCCCCCTTCATGGGGCCGATGCTAGGGCCGGTCATGGGTGGCTTTGTCACAATCTCGATTGGTTGGCGATGGCTTCAGGGCATCTGCTGCATCTTTATCGCCGTTGTATGGATTTTTGGTGTTTTTTTCTTACCAGAGACATATGCACCGGTTCTATTGTCAAGAAAGGCACGCAAGCTCAGCCGTGAGACGGGCACTTCCCACACCACCATCTACGAAACCGAAAAGGCGGCTCCGTCCAAGATACTCGCCACGGCATTTAAGCGACCCTGGGTCCTTCTCTTCATGGAACCTATCGTGCTTATTGCCTCGACTTACATGGCTATTCTATACGGCACCATCTACATGTTCATGGGCGCATTCCCCATCGTCTACGAGTCCAAGCGAGGCTGGAACCAGGGTATCGGCGGTCTAGCGTTCTTGGGATTGACAGTGGGCATGCTGATTGGTCTCGCCTACACCATTGTCGACAACAATGTGCGATACAACAAGCTGGGCAAAAACGCCACCCCCGAATCTCGGCTGCCCCCGGCCAACATTGGAGCAATCGCGCTGCCTGTTGGCATGTTCGCCTTTGCCTGGACCAATTCGCCCAGCGTGCACTGGTCGGCCAGCATCATTCTGTCTGCTCCATTCGGTTTCGGCTGTGTCTTGGTCTTTTTATCGTGTCTCAACTACCTGGTCGACTCTTACACCATCTATGCGGCCTCTGTCCTTGCGGCAGGAGCCATGCTGCGTTCGTTCTTTGGTGCCGCGTTTCCGCTTTTCGTTTCACAAATGTACCAAAATCTTGGCATTCACTGGGCAAGTTCGATTCCTGCGTTTCTGACTCTGGCGTGCGTTCCGTTTCCTTTTCTCATGTACAGGTACGGAGCCGGGCTGAGGATGAAGTGCAAGTACGCACAAGAGTCTGCCTCGTTGATGGCCAAGGCGCAGGCTGAGACCGAGAGTTGAGATCTCACCCGACGATGAACCCAAATAGTGTTGCAAGCCACGGTGCGTAATTGCTTTTTATCTACGCAGTTATCAAGTTAACGCGATACATTCTATAAATTAGCTAATTATAAATCCAAGTACTTTGATACTAAAGAGTAACTTTACAAAAGTAGGTATCAACAGTATACAATCCCAAGGCAGGGTATACGGCGTACTATTTGGACTACTTTTTTTTATTTTACTTTAGATTTAGTACTTGTATAAAGTAGATTTGCGAATATGGGAGCAGAGATCGAAAAGCTGGATGACGCTATGCAGAGTATTTTAGACCAGGGTCTGATTCAGAGGCAGTACCATGACCAGAAAATAGCGCTGATCTGTAGAAGCAAGTCGTGTAACAATGGGAGACCTACATGCTAAGCCTCTCAGTGATTGAATGACTTTTCTGAGGCTCAATATGAGTCATGGTCAATCATTTACTGCAATTGATATTTTGCTCATAATTTTTTCCCCCTTATGCATATGGAAACACTTTTCTTGAAGAACAGCCTTCTCATGTGTCAACGTTTTAGTTCGTGAGCTACGACTATTCGACCCCTCTTCTTTAGCGCTCGTGTTCACTTGAAGGAAACGGCGTAGAGTAACACTTACCCGCAAGGTGGTGCCGTCTTTGTTTCCTTTCATTCAACAGGATCGCTTTGCGGTGTCAGTAGACAGACGGCAACGGAGACTGCTCAGCTGCCTCTGGAGTGACTTGGTGGTAGCGAACATTCTGCGAGTCTTTTTTTTTTTTTTTTTCCATTTTTAGATGAGAAGAAGTAACATCTAGATGAGAATGTTCTGCGCAACTTCAAATTGATCAGAAGTGGATGGCTCTATCTTGGAAAGATAACGGTGGTTACAGAAGCGAATGGAATAAGCGTCACAAAGGTAGCTGGTATGGTGATGCTCTCAACTAACTAACTAGTTTCAGAATTTATCAGTTATTCGTGTAGTGCGGGATGTACGAGTCTTGTACCTGTGCAAGTGTAGCCGTGAGACAGGTTGTCGGCCTCGGCTGTCTGACGCGCACACACACACGCACAGTTGGCAAGAGCTGCTGCAGACAATTCTTATCATTGATTGCCCCAGAACATGGGTTCAAATCCGGCCGAGCTACTGAGACTTGCCGATGACCAAAGCCGGGCATACACGCGAATATCCTAGTGATTGCGCAATTGCCCCGCAGCCCCGGCATCATGGTCGGAGCGCCGAGAACTAGCTGGGGAAAAAAAGAGTATTTTACTCAGTTTGTTTTTTCTTTTCTTTATAAAGCGTCTCGCTGCCCGTCCAATACTTGTTTGGGCGGAGCTTCGGTCCGGCCCTCTTCATTAACCGCCTTTCGCACCGACAAGCAAACAATTTGCCTCCCCCCGCCCGCCGCCATCAAAGCCAGCCCAAATTACAGACCCCGACTGCAATATTCGGGTCAAAGTTCAAGGGTAAAAAGTAGCGAGGCCTCGCTCTCGGGAGGGGGAGTGAATAGCAAACAGAAAAGTGAGACCTTTTTCTTTTGGGGGTGCGGCCGTCGCGTAGCATCACACGGAAGAAGAGGCGAGGGGGGGGGAATGGCGAATGGCGAACTTGTACTTTACTGCGGCGACAAACAACCCTTCCTCCCACCAAAGCCCTCCCACCAAGCCGTGAAAGAGGATCCAAAAAAACAAGAACAAAGAGCTCGAGATATTGAGGTTCGATTTAATTTGCTTCCCGTGTAATCCCAAAGCTGGGGCCCAAACTTTTGACTGAGCACACACGCACCATCTCTCATGCCGCGCGCCTTATATCGAGACCAATGGGCTTCCTTTGAAAGCAAAAGACACATTTCGACTGTAGGGCGACGCCATACATCTGATCTTTCTTTTTTCTTTTCCATCTTCTTCTTTCCTTGACCCAGATACACGTGTGAACAGACACCAGGACGATCATGCCGCGATCGATCGACGCGCCCACGCCTATCGCGGCGAGCGATACAGAAACGGACAAGCACTCAAATGCTTGGTACGATCATGACGGGAATGAGACCGTCTCGCACACATGCGTATCCTCTGGAAGCGATGGTAGCCACGATAAGCTCGAAAAGGCGCCCTTGTCGCGTGGAAGAAGCATCGCGCTCGTCATTACCCTGACGGGAGCGGCCTTTATAAATGTAAGAAGAGCTTCCATGATTGCCCCTCGTCTCGAAAACCACCTGATCGAAAAATGCGAAACAAGCTCGCTTCTTTTTTTGCTTGCTCACGCATCGCTCTGGCCTCTTCTCGGAAATAGAAAAAACCTGTCTAACGTGATGCATCATCTATAGACCCTCTCGGCCCAGGCCGTCGTCATTATCCTGCCAGCCATGGGCAAGACGCTCAACATCCCCGACAGCCGACTGCAGTGGATCGTATCTGCTTATTCGCTGACCTTTGGCTGCTTCCTCCTGCTCTGGGGCCGCATCGCTGATATTTTCGGCAAGCGCTTCATCTTCATCGCCGGGTCCATCTGGGTCACCCTCGCGACGGCACTGAATCCGCTCATGCCCAACGAGATTGCCTTTGACTTTTTCCGCGGGCTGCATGGTCTGGTAAGAGGTTCAATCAAGGCGATTGATGCTGTTTCGGAGTGACTTGACTGACTCTGGTAGGGCGCTGCGGCCAATGTACCTACTGCCATTGGTATCCTTGGTGTTACTTTTCCACCCGGCAAGGCAAAGAACTATGCCTTTGCAGCATATGGTACGTCATTGGTCTTGCTATTGTACCTCGTCAACATTGTAACTCACATGTATTCCTTAGGAGCCGGTGCGCCACTGGGAAGCATCTTTGGCAGCATCATATCCGGCATCATTGCACAGTACAGCAGCTGGAAATGGGTGTTTGGCTTCATGGCCATCATGGCCGCCGCCATCTCCATCGCTGGCTTTGCGCTCATTCCCAACTCGGACGACTCGCCAACGCTCGCTGCCGCGCTCCAAGGCGGCAGTGTCGGGGCCCGGCTCAAGCTCGTCGACTGGACCGGCGGTGCCCTCATCACTGTCGCGCTCATTGCACTGCTTTTTGCGCTGACTGAGGGCAACGTCGTCGGATGGCAGACGGCATGGGTCTCAAACCTCATTCTTGTCTCGCTGTTGCTGATTGTCGCATTCTTTTTCTGGCAGCGCCGCCTCGAGAAGAAACCCGACGGGCGCCCTCCGCTGATCAAGGTCTCCGTGTTCAAGAATCGACAATTCACGGCGGTCATGTTCATTATGGGCCTCTTTTTCGCCTCGTTCAACAATTTTCTGGTTTTTGCCACTTACTACTATCAGGACTATCTCGGATACAACCCCATTCAGACCATGCTGCGCTTTCTGCCAACTGGTGTTGGTGGCATCTTTGTTTCCTTTGCCGTTGCGTTTTTGCTCAGCCGCGTACCGACTGCCTTTATGCTTATCTGCGGGACCTTTTCCGTATCTATTGCTAGCTTGCTCTTTGCCGTCCCCATTCCCATCACCACCTCGTACTTTGCATGGGGCATGTGGGCGATGCTGCTGTCTGTGGTCGGAGCAGACATTACGTGGCCCTGCCTCACTTTTTTCACGTCGCAGGCCCTGCCGGCTGAGGATCAAGCGATTGGCGGCGCCCTCATCAACGCTGTTGGCCAAATGGGCCGTGCCATTGGCCTAGCGATTGCCACGGCCATCCAGACGGCCGTGTTGGCGCACGAGCGTGGCGTGTCGGTGGAAAATGTCGGCGCGGTCCAGGAGCTGGACTATGCATCGCTGCTGAGTATTAGGATTGCGAGCTGGTTTAACTTTGCCATAGGAGTTACGGCAATGGTCATTGTTTGCATTGCGTTTCGCAAGATGGAAGTCATTGGCAGAATTGCGCCAGAGCCTGATGCTGAGGGTGTCAAGGAGGAGCATGAATTGCGGAGCAGAGCGTGATTGGGGGAAGGAGTAACTTGTCGCTTACTTTTTGTGTAATAATAACCTGTTTAGGGAAGGCGGTGTAGGAAGGGTGTTGGGAAGGTAAAAGTCGGTAATATTACATTGTTAATGGAATGAAGATGAATTGCGCCCGGATCAGACCACTCTGTAGATACCGCCCTGCAGCCTGTGATGTTATGCATCGCTAAGGATCTATTTTAGATGATTTCGACTGATTTTGCTGAATTGTTGATACTTGTGTTTTCATTGCCGTTCGCTGCCATGAGGTACTCTAGTTGGTCGTCTAGCCACTGGAGGACCTGTGGCACTTTGAAGATCGCTCGGCGGCATCTTCACTCTCCATTTCGGCCTTGTATCTGACACACTGCTGCAGATTTTTACGAGAGTATTATAAAAAAATTCTGGGTGATGTAGTATCGTAATTGCGACTTTTGCAACACAAGGATGCGGGCTGTAAAGGCCCTTTGGGCGGTGTCAGATTTACAACAGACAATACAACATACAATACAAACCACGATAATGTTTAGCATATGGATCGTCAATAGTCCAATGATGAAAGTTTATGAGCAACTATAGCAAATAGCAAATTGCAACAGATTTGTCGCAGGTTTTAGTCATTTGCGGTCTCGGTAAAACAAGCTCGTAAATTTGGCTCCCATTGCCCCTGCTGAATGACAATGTGAAATGATGAAGCAAAGGCGTTTTTTTTTTTGCAAGCAACGTCAAACGAAAGCGAAAGGCCTAAAATGATCTCGGATGCAGCAGATGAAGTGTTGAACAAGCGAAGTGATCGATCTCTTCTGAGGCTCTGAGCGGTCTGAGGACGTCAATCTTCTGCTGTTTCGTGGTACCAATCTTCATCTGAGTTCAACGAATAACCGTCTGGGTCTTTGCCTTCAAATATGCTGATTAGTTTGAAGTAAAAAGTCTGAAAACTCTTCATCTTCTTGATCATCCCAAGGGATGCCTCGGGATATTCTTCAATAGTGGTATGGAACCTTTTGCAAGCCAAGAGTCGGCGAAGATTAAGGGCGCAATACTCAAAGACTAGCTCTTTCAATCCTGCAGAAGCTGGTTCGTCCTTGCAAAGTTGCAGTAAATCACACACTTCTTCTCTGCCTGGAGCTAGAATCATGAGTTTGTGAATCTTGGCCCGGCAAAATATCATGAGTGTCTCAATGTGGTAGTAGTGGGCAAAGGTGTACACTCTTGCGACACTCAAGAAAGCTTTGGACATGGACCGAGTTCCCAGAACAGAGTCCATGTATACTTCATAGACTGTTGGCAGTTCATGGAAGACATATTTCTGTCGAGTTCGAAATCGCACCCAGGCCTTTTGGGTAATAGCGTCGTCGTTGATTTCTCCCAAGTAATTCGAAGCATTGGTTCTGATAGCCGGGTGTGTAGCACAATCCTCGAAACATGGAGACAAAAAATCCCCAGTGTAGAGATACTCGGAGAATCTCTTAAAAGTTGCAACATCAACATGCGGCCATTTGACGGTTCCTTCTAGCGACTCTTTCATGCCATTGGTGACCAAAGCGCGAAGAGGGTTTGATTGCTTTGCGAGGAGTGCAGAATGCACCTAGAATTCTTCCTCCTCGTGGCCAACAATAAATTTGAACTGTTTCGAGGAGAGCCAATCCATTGTACTGGAGATAGAATGTCAGCTAGTAGTTCCAAGAGCTGCGTAGGCAGAGAAGAAGAGAGCCGACTTACTGCGACTTGTTTTTAGTTGACCTCCACATGTTGGCTTCGATTCAGCGCCCGATGGTCAAAGTTTCGGAGAGGGAAGAAGGCTATTTGGTTGAAGTTGACCCAGTCCTAGCTGCAAAGGCGATGTTAATTTATATGCGTTGACTCATTTGGCCTTAATTTTCATGGAAATTGCGGCAACCTTGCAGTTGCGGCAAAGTAACGTATCCAAAGATTTTTCAAGAAGAGCTTGTTGTTTTTTCGCTAGGCCAACTCCGTTTGCAGAAAGTACTCCGCTTGCAAAAGTGCAGTCGGGCTGCAGCTGCCGGGCCGTTGAGCTCTTATTTTTTTCGACGAGCTTTGCCACGAGTTTTACACCTGCAAACCCTCCCCTTTCACATCATCCACACGATGCTTGATCAAACAACAACACTCAGGCACAATAGCAGAACAATAGAGCCAGTACAGCCCAAATAGCCCTGATCAGAGAATATAGACATGTATGCATCCTTGAGTTTAAATGGGCTTCCCTAATTTGAATCAAGCACTCGAGAACGTGTGGAAACTTGTAATAGCTAGTTGACTAAGATTTGAGCATGGCCGTGGACTTGATACCCTCTGACGGTCCCTATTCTACTTCCAAAACACAAAGCGATTCTGCAATCATCTCATTATAGAGCAAACGTTGTTGGTAGACCGTGTCTTGCATGTAATCCTTGGCCCAGACCCCAATCGAGCACGCTTAGAAATCCCAGCGGCGGGCATCATCGCCGTCATCGCGGTAGACAATCTTGACATCCGAGTCCCACGCACCAATGACTAGGTCGTGATTGTCGGCAAGGCAAATGTAGCCATCATGGTACTCGAATCGCTGTCCCTCGCCACCGTTGGCGTCCTCCTGTGTGGGGGTGGACTCGGGGGTGAGGTCGTTGAAGGTGAGGGCATAGCCCGAGCACTTGTTGATGAGGTGGCCATTCTCGAAGCGCCAGAGCTGGTTGGAGTTGTCATCGTCGCCCTTGTAGTCGTAGACAATGACGGCACTGCCGGGATCGGTGGACATGTAGGCGGCGTCCATCACGCGGCCGCTGGCGCGGTTGCGGAGGATAAATTCGCCGTCGGGGAAAGACATTTTGTGTAGTTGAAGGGGGTTGTTTCGGTTATTTGTTGTTTGTTTTGGACGATTTGAAAGAGTCGGATTGGTCAAAGAGAGAAGAATTTAGAGTGTAGATGGCTGAATGGCAAAGGCATGTTTTGTGCGGGGAGTTGCTTGTGCTTATATAGCTCATGCAACAACCACGCCTTCCTCACTTTCCCAGTTACATCACCTACACGACTTACCGAATGCCGCAATGAGGGGCACACGCCGTTTGCTGCGTAGCATAAATGCAAGTATTTGTTGTATGACATGACGTGGTCATGTACAATTGGATGCCAAAAGGTCCCGAGTGCCGCAATAATATGCACGTTACCGCGGGCACTGCCACAGTCTTCTTGGCGCCCAGTGTATTCCCGTCTCCGCAGCGGGATGATACGCTGTCGGCAAACTAAAAAACAGGGCGAGAGATTAACTCACAAGGTAGTTACTCTGCTACGACTAAAGGAGCGTGTTTCATCTGATGAATTGGATGTCGGCTGGTTGGCTTCGATGTGAGGATGGATGTGAGGGGTGAGGAGGAGGGGCACGACGAGAGGGGCGGCGTTTAAACGTGAGCACCGGCTGACAAGCTTGATAGGTACTGACAAGACACGTACTGACATGGCACTCTCGAAACTACTTGTTTATAGGTACTCAAGATGATATGCAAGAGCTACACCGTCTTTATCCGGCTTTTAGTTGGCCGTTGGCATGTCTTGGCTTTAGCTCCCGCTAGCATCCCCGGCTCAGCCATCCCGACTTAGCCTCATCTCCACCACACAGCGATCGCCACGGGAAAATGCTTTGGTTTCATTCGACCATGGAAGGGTCTTGGGGTCCTCGCGATGGAAGGGGTCAATTTTCCGATGCTCTCGAGGCGCATCATGCTGTCTCACATCGACTTGCTCTGCCCGCGTTAAAGCCTTTCTGTTACCCCTCTGTGCCACCGCACACTGACGCCCATGTGACACAGTCCCTCTCAGTACAACTTGCACACCTTGTAACCTTGGACATTGACGACTTGGTCTGTCATTTGCGCTGGGACAATTATCAACAGTTGCACTCTGCAGCGCCAACCTGCCTGGCCAAGCCTTTGCCGCCTGACCATCGACCTCGACCCTGTGCTAATTACACAAAGTGTCGACACCGACTAATCTTGATCTTAATTGGCATGTGGCGCCTTTCAACTCTCGATTAGACACAACTCTCAAGTTAATTCCCGCACCATCACCGGAATCTACCTTGCGCAAGTGTAACCAGCTACATTAGCCGTCAACCAACCACCCAACCAACCAAACAGCCATTTCGACCTATTTTCCATTTATTAACAGAATTTACCTTGTCTGGCAGACATGAAAGCCAAAAAGGACCGTGCATCTCCCCAAGATTTTTAGCCGCTCTGTGAAAGTCTAGCCACTTGCCGCGTCAGCTCGCCACCTTCCGCAACGGGCCACGCAGCGTCGGGACGATCCCACATCGCCTCCCACATTCCGAATCTAGACCACCCCAAGCAAGTCTCCAAATAAAACATGCATTTTAAGTTTACCCATAGGTGATTACCGGAAGCCAGTGCAAATCAACGGTCGCCGGCACTCTTTTTTGCAATTGACCAGTACTGCCATTGCTGTGTTGTGAATGAGGCTATCGAGCAGTCGGCGGCCAAGTCAAAAAATAAAAAAAAGCATTCACCAGTCATCATTAGGGACCTGAGGAACGTTGCTTCGTCTCAAGCCACTGCCAAAGTCGTTGTCACCAAGCTACTGCCAACTGCGCATGACTCGCAAGCGTGCCATGGCCAACTCTAAATGCAGCCGCTGAACATGTTCCCAATCTTGGATCCCGGGGCAAGACAAAACTCCGTACAAGCAAAGAAGAAACCCCCGCTCGGGCTTGCGATGGGGGCGAGATGGATCACAGCTACTGCTAGATCCCCCGCTCGTGGGACATGGCGCGTCACCCAGATGGCTGTTGCAAATTACGAAGCTTCTTCTCTTGATTGGTCGGCTTGGCCGATGCTCTGAAAGAAGTACGCGGCTGGTGTAGACGGTATAGGCCGTGCTTTTGGAGACATGGCGTACCGGCTTGCATAACGCAGCTGCTTTGCATCATGCGTCGGTGACGTGTATTAGCTTCGATTCATGCCGGAGTCGGGAGCTGACGACGCCATCAACTCAGCGATGAACTTTGAAGTAGTATATAAGTGAGCGGGTGAGAATCTTCTTCCGGGCCCTATACTACTCGACATTCACGGAATCCATTACCATTACTGTCAACACAATGCGTTCCACTCAAATTCTGGCACTCTTTGCGGCCGCCTCTGGCATTGCAAACGCCCACCCTGGCCATGACCTGACTGAAGAAATTGCCGAGCGCCAGCTGTTTCTCCGATCCGTTCGAAGGGCCACCCTTGCTCACTGCGCTGAGAAGCTCAAGGCTCGGGGTGTAGAGGCTGCCAACATCGCTCGCCGCTCGGCTGCCGTCGAGAAGAAGCGCACCGCCCGAGGCATCAAGCGCAGAGATGCTGATAGTGCTCTGTCGACCTCCCACAACAGTACCGACACTGGCTACACGGAGAACACGTCCGTGTCGGAGCTCTTCTCCAGCAACGGCTCTTGTCTCTTGACCCCCGAAGTGACTCAGGGCCCCTACTGTACGCCTTTTCTTCCTCCTTGATGCACTTCTTTGAGCTTCAGTCTAACCTGCTGCAGATGTTGGCGGCGAGTCTCTCCGAAAGGATGTCACAGACTCAGAACCCGGCATCGACATCACACTCGACTACCAGGTCATCGACGTCGATACCTGCGAGCCCGTGCCCGACGTCTACGTCGAGATTTGGCACTGCAACTCCACCGGCGTCTACTCTGGCGTCGTCGCCAACGGCAACGGCGACTCCTCTGACGAGTCCAACATTGACAACACGGCCCTGCGCGGCATCCAAGCCACCGACTCGGACGGCGTCGCCCAGTTCCAGTCCATCTTCCCCGGCCACTACACCGGCCGCGCCACCCACATCCACGTCATGGTACACACCAATGCCACGCTGTACTCGAACCAGACGCTCGGCAACCAAGTCTACGCGAGCCACGTCGGCCAGACCTTTTTCGACCAGGACCTCATCGCCGCCGCCGACAAGGTCTCCCCGTACAGCGAAAACGAGCAGGAGCTGACGGAGAACTCGTCGGACAGCATCTTGTCCGAGGAGGCGGGCACCGACGGCGTCGATCCGTTTATGAACTACGTCTACCTTGGTGATGACCTGAGCGAGGGCTTATTTGCATGGCTGGCGTTTGGCATCAACACGACGTATTCGAGCGAAGTGACGCCGGCATCGTTCATTTATGAGTCGGGTGGTGTTAAGAACAGCAACGGTGGCATGGGCGGCGGTCCTGGAGGCGGCGGTCCTCCCGGCTCTGGTGGTGGCCCTCCTGGTGGTGGCCCGCCCGGCGGCAATGGTACAAGATCAGGTGGTAGCGGCACCGCTTCTCCCTCTGGAACTAACGCTGGCCCGTCTGGAACGGACTCTGCTCCATCTGGAACGGCGACCGGTACGACAGGAACCCCCACCTTGAGCAGTGTTGGCTCATTTGTTACCGTATCTGCCACTGGGCTATTGGGACTCGTCTTCCTTGTTCTTGCTATGTAATACTTGGGTATTGATATGCATAGTTATGTTTCATTGACCAAGAAAATACTTCTACCAAGATATATGAGAATAGCTATGTAAAGCGTAGTGATGATAGTCTAGAGCAGCTGGCAAAATCTATTGTGTAAATTCAGACATGAATACAGCGTTGGCAGCTTTGCTCTTGCGCTGAAGAACCGTGCCATACTTGATGAAAACAAAGGGAATCACACCCATGAGCAATGCAACAAAGCCCAAAAGTGAAGGTGCCCAGTGAATTCCCAGACGGCTATACATGGGACCCGCCGCCAAGGGCAACAAAATCGCCCCAACCGATCGTGTCATGCCCGCGGCGGCCTGCGCAGAGGCCGAGTTTTGGCGAAAGACGTCGGTCAAGTAGTTTCCCATGCTCATAAATACCAGCTGATAGCCAAGGTAGAAGAACAGGCCACTCAGCGAGGGGATGATGGGCGGCAAGCTGTCAGAGACGGTCCATCCTAGCCAGAATAATGCAATGACCATGCTAGAAATGGTTTCAGAAAAACACATGAAAAAACACACGGTAGTTGGGGCAGGCTTACCATGGAGACGCAACACATGCAAGAGGGAGACGACGGTTGACTTCACGTTGTGCCCAAGACTTGCCCTTTCTTGCGGAGGCGTCATACCAGCGACTGAAAATGTAGAATACGGGTAGTGATATCACGATGCCGACAATCACTGGTTTGTCAGCATCGTGTAACGGAGCTGTAAAAGAGCATCAAGATAAACTTACTTGGGACGTATGCGAGCGAGGCATATCCGGGGGAAAGCCCGTAATGGCCTATCTATGTTACTAATACAGCAAGAACCGTCCGGTGAACCGACTTACCTTGAAATACAATTGGGTATGCTTGATACATCAAGTAGGCAATGGCGTAAATCAAGGCCAGATACAGCGACGTAAACAGCAGTATAGGCTCTGTAATCATCAACGTCATTGGCCGCAAAAAGATGCGTCGAGCGCTAAAAAGGTCAGTCTCAGTCACGACCACCGCGCCTGACTTTGCCTCGGCGTCCAGCTTTGCCCTGATGGCCACGCGGTTCAGCACCGGCGCAAAAGTTTCCGGAATCGTCCACACCAGCGGCAAGCCCGGGGCGGCAATCAGCGCCGCCGCCCAAAACGGCCACCTCCACGAGACCTGCGAGGAGAAGCCCGATATGACGGGCGCCACGCACGGGCCGACGCTCGTAACGGACATGTACACGGCCAGCGCCGTGCCGCGCTGCGACGGGTCGTCCAGAATGTCCGAGTACAGGCCGCTGATGACGGCCGTCGGCGCGGCGGCATTGATGCCCCCCAGCAGCCGGAAAACAAGCAGCGCCGGATATGTCGGCGCCGCGGAGCACAGAAGCATAAAGACGAGGTAGCCGAGAAACGTGCCGGCGAGGACGGGCCGTCGGCCAATGTACTCGCTCAGCGGGCCAAAGAGCAGCGGGCCGACGACGTAGCCGCACATGTAGAGCGAGTTGAGGAGTGTGAGCTGCACGCGGCTCGTGACGGAGAAGCGGGCGGCGATGGCGTCGAGTGCGCCAGAGGGAATGGACGAGCCTAGGTTGCAATTGAAGGTGCATGCGAAGCCGGCGATGATGATGTGGAGTTTTCTGAGCTGGAGATTTGATGTTTAGGATACTGGCCTGTTTAGCAGGTTCTGAGACATCTTACCGCTGACAGCTCGGTCGGATTCTTCATCTTTATCATGCTGGTCTCAGCGGCGAATGCATTTCCGCCTTCAATCGGCATGCTTTCCGCGTTGGCCATGGTGATTATGTTGGAGGTTGTTGGAGTTCCATTGCTACCAGATAGTCAAAGCAAAAACCACTTCTTATAGATCCGCGAATTGGTCATTTATCAGCAGTCACAATTATTGAATATTATCACACCGTAAGAGTGCCTTCTTCCAATGCACATTCATGCATCGCCGTGATTGGCCAGAATCGCCGAGCAGCCGGTACCGGAATGGACCCGCAATTACCGAGATCACTCGCCGAGATCCGATTGCCCTCGTCTTCTTAACACTACAACTACTTCTTCACATTATCAATTCTTCACCGTCTCGGCCCATGTCATCGGAAAGGCGCTCGGAGATGAACCGGAGGAAAAATGTGGCGCAGAGAAGAACCACGAGTATGAGACTTTTCCCCTTCCGACCGCTTCCTCACCCACCTCACCCACCTCACCCTTGCTCCGTTGCAGCACACAAACCATCTGACTTTTTTCTTCTCCCCCCCTACAGACGGTCGAGCCTGTGTCCACTGCCACTACCGCAAGGTCCGCTGCGATGTCGTCGACAAGGGCTCCCCCTGCAGCAATTGCCGTGTCCATGGGCAGCCCAACTGCCAGGTTTACCAAAAGTCCAAGACGAGATCGGCGCGTGCTCGCGGTGCCCACGTCGTCGCCATAGCGCCCAAAGACCCGGAAGCAGCAGAAGCAGCAGCAGCAGCAGCAGCAGCAGCAGCAGGCACATCATCAGCACAAGACGAGGAACATGAGCCCGGCAACCTGGCCGACCTCATCTACCGGCAGGACCTGCGCGACGCCGAGCTCGGGCAGCTCGGGCGCATGTGCTTCATCGGCAGCGACGTGTCCAACTTTGGCTACCTGGTGCGGCAGGTCGCGCAGCCGCAGCGACGCGACGCCTTTCACTTTGGCAGCCGCCAGTTTGCGCGGCGCCACACGGCGCACGAGCTGCAGCGCGTGCCGCCCGAGGCCCTGACGCGGTGCGCCGCGCCGCTCGAGCGCCGCCTGCTGCGCGCCTACTTTGACCGCGTGAACCCGGGATGGCCGATTGTGGACGAGGAGCACTTTATGGCGCAGTACCGCGGCGGCGACCCGAGGAACCCGCTCATGCTGCCGCTGCTGAATGCGATGCTGCTGGTGGGCGTGCATGTGCTGCGCGCGCGGGGGGAAGAGGCAGTGGAAGGAGAAGGAGGAGGAGGAGAGCAGCTGGCGCAGCTGCAGAAGACGTTTTTTCGACGCGCAAAGACGTTGATTGATTGCAGGTTTGAGCAGGATCGAACCATGTATGTGCAGGTCGCGCTGCTGATGACGTGGTACTCGGACGGGCACGAGGAGATTGTGGCGAATGCGTGGCACTGGATTGGTTTTGCGATACGCATCGCCATCGGCCACGGCATGCATCGCGACGCGACGCACTCCAAGATGCTGCCTGTGCACCGGCGGCTGTGGACGAGGCTCTGGTGGATTCTTTTCCAGTTTGACACGGCCGTGTCTGCTGCGTACGGCCGACCACAAATACTGTATGTACATACGCCGCGGACTTCCATCCAATCTGCAGCGGTATCTGTCTGTCTGTCTGACTGACTGACCATCAATTACGCAAAAAAGCAACCTCGACGAGTCCGACGTTCCCGAGCTCGAGCCCGCGCACTTTCAAGGCGTCCCCAACGCCCAAGTCGACTTTGCCATGCAGCACGCCAAGCTCTGCGCCATCTTCGCCTCGGCCATGCGATCCCGCTGGGCGCTCCGCTCCTCCACGCACGACCGCGTCGCCGCGTCGCGCCGCGCCGACGACGCCCTCGCCGCCTTTCTCGTGCAGCTGCCCCCCGCGCTCAAGCCGTCCGCCGCCACGCGGGGGCTCGCCGCGCCGTCGTGGAGTGCAACGCTGCACCTGACGTACAACAACTTTGTGCTGCTGCTGCACCGGCCGCCGCCTGTGGCCGGCACCGACGCCGTGTCGGCTGCGTGCGCGGACCCGGCTCTTTGCGCCGGTGCTACGGCCTCCATGGCCGCGATCCTCGAGGCGCTGTGCTGCGACGACGGCGACGGTGCCGGCGGTGGCGGCGGTGGTGGTGACGACGCGCTTTGGCTGTACGGCGTCCACGCTGCCTTTACCGCGCTCATCTACGTCTCGAATGAGCTGGTCGCACCGAACGCCATGGTCGCCGCGAGGGCGCGCGGTCTCTTTGATACCCTAATGGACGCGCTCAGACGGCTCGCGCGGTACTGGCAGTTTGCCGAAAGCTTGCTGCGGCTGTTTCGGCAGAAAGAGGCGTCGCTGTTAAAAGATGGCGGGGCGACGGCGACGGTGGCGGCGGCGGCGGCAGCGGGAGAACCGCGACTAAGCGCGGCGGAGGGCTTCTCGCTGCGGCCGGCGCCGTTGGCACAGATGCCCTGGGAGGACGCAATGGGTGGCGGCGGGCATGCGGCGCCGCAACGGTTCGAGAACGAATATCCGGCGGCGAGTGGATTGGCGGGGGAGGCCACGCAGCAGCAGCAGCAGCAGCAGCATGGTGGGGAGTTGCACGTGGACGAGTTGATGGTGGAGGGATATCCAGACTCATTTGCGCTGGAGTTGTTTCTTGCTGGAATGGACGGGAGCACGCAGGACTGTGTGTGATTGACGTTGTATGTAGATGGTCTCGCCCGATGGTGCTTTTGTCGTAAGAGAGGGATCGTGATTGAGGGCTGAAATTCAGGTCGTCGATACCCACTCTCTGCCCAGAAGAAAGTCCTGGCATTGTTGTGTGTGACAATAACGGGCAATGTAGTATGTGCAGGAAGGCAAACGGTTATGGTCTAATTAGCAAACGAAAAAAAAGCAAGAAAGAAAAGATAAATGGTAAAGTACAGTGCACCAAAACAAACACTTGATAGTCGACAATCACTGCATCGGAAAGCCCTCTTCTTTCTTCAGCTTGGTGCCGGTTCATTTTTCTGCAAAGAGTAAACGACGACTACTATTAGCTTCACGCCAGCCAAGGAATAACAAACAGAACCCCAAACGCCGTCCCGAAAAGCAACAGAGTAGGGAAGTAAAAGCCGCTCCTCTGGGATATATCTATCATCCGTGTCATACATAACTTCCACCACTTTATTTTCCCCCTCCTTGCCCTTCTACTCTCCCTTACCGGGCATCACCTTGGCCGCCTGGACGGCGCTCATCTTGGCGATCCAGCCTGCCGCGGGTTGCACCTTGCGGACGGTGCGGAGCTCGTCTGATGAGTAGCCGGGGACGCGAATGTTGTAGGTGCGCTCGAGGACGAGCTGAATGTCGCGAATCTCGAGGACCTTGGAGCCGCGCTCCTTGGAGTTGCGGCAGGCGGCGTGCAGGACGTTGTCGACGAAGCTATCCGCCATGTTCAATACGCTCTGTTTGTTCTTTGTTAGTGTCCATGTTCCATGTCCATTGTTAAAAAAGCTTGCGGTCGTACCTCTTCCACTTCGGGTGTCAGGAGATTGCCGTCCGAGGCGCCCTCGGACGGCGCGCCGCAGACCTGGCGCACTAGCTCGTCGAGCTTCTTCTTGCTGAGAACGTGGTCGCCCTCGGCGTCGTGGCTATATGCAGGGACCTTGGCGACCGCCGGCTGATTCATAACGCCGCCGAGCGTGCCGCCGCCCTGTGAGAGCGTGGGTCTACCCGCGGCGACGCCGCCGCCCAGCGTCACCCCCTGGGGGATCGCCGTGGCGCGCTCGGGCAGTTGCTTTTGGATTGGCATCTTGACCTGTTGAGCAGGGGGCGCTTGCTGCTGCGACGGGTGTGCGTGCGGATGACCCTGTTGCTGCTGTTGCTGTTGCTGCTGAATGGCCGTATTGTTTGCGGCGCCGGGTGTGCCGACCGTGGGTGTACCCGCTGCTTGTTGCTGTTGGTGTTGCTGGGCGACCTGCTGCTGCTGCTGCTGCTGCTGCTGCTGCTGCTGCTGCTGCTGCTGCTGCGTGTGCTGCTGAGT